CCAGGAAATTTTGCGGGGGGGGGGGGGGTGATGTCCAGGCCCGTCAGATGTACATATCCGATTGTTGCGGATAGGTGGACCGTGTCATTATTAAAATAATTATACATTTTCGTATTTAGACAGATACAGATTCTCAACTCCGTCACTACTATTTCAACATTATACGGACGTCTTTAGAAAAAAAAATTGTTTTACGGATTTGTTTGTTAACACTATAACCAGGCCTCTGTTCCGTTCGCTGTTTCCCAACAGTCTTCCATTAGCCTGTAATCAAATATTATTTTCCTGAACAATAATGTAAGCAGTATGTTCTCATCCTTAATTCTATAAAAAAGAAAAGAAATCAAACGTTGGGCGCCGTTCTTGATGTGCATCATAGCTCTTCGCTCGCAACCACCCCCCCTCCCTCCCCCACCCCGCCCTGCAAACAGTTCTGACCAAAACGGAATTGGAATGTGATCTAGGGTCGCTTAGGCATCTTCCCTGCAAGTTTCAAGCAATTCCATTTTTTGACCAAAATGGACAAAAATGTAAGGGGTTAGCCTTACATTTTTAGACACAAGAATGTACATAAAGGATTGGATTCTAAAATGCCATTACATGGGGCTTTATAGAATTTACTGTCATTGACATGCAGGCGCGGATCCAGAGGGTTTATTTTTTACTCAAAATGTAATTTTTTTACTCTTAAAAATGAATGCACACAATAGACAGCAATTTTCTTTGGGCAGTTCTTCAATTCTCTTTTTTGATTTGCTTTCACATATACATGACAAATATTGCCAAAAGGAATCAATGTACATGACAGCTAAATAGTCGTAGAACAGAGGTATATAAACATAAATATGATGTTAGGTAATATCTATACAGTTATATGGTTTAAACTATGATTATTTTTCTTTAACCCTCATCATGTTGGTAATGAAACGATGAACCACTTTTTAGTAATCTTATTAAGCATGAATATGAGCGGTTTGCGATACAACGCACCAGCAGGCATTGATCAAGACACCACGTTTGGTCGGTGTTCTAAAGCTATTTGTTAACATGTCCAGCATTAAGTTCCAACGCATGGATAACTGAATTGGGAATTTTAAATAAAGGAAACTCCTCACAATTCAAACAAATTTCAAATTGAATCATGTGCTAAAACGTAAAGAAACTGCCAAATTTTTGTGTAAAATGTCAAGGAGTTACCCCCAAATGCACTGTGAATAAAAATGGCCTCCGTGGTAGCTTCTAGGTGGCGCACTACATTGCGAATTGCTCCAATTCAAAATACATGATGCAAGAAGCAACTAAATGATATTTTACTGTTATTCTACTTTTCCAAAAAGTCACTTTCTAGGTAACTTTGTCCTTGAAGGGATAAAGTTCTGGTTCGGCATCAGACATCAGTCATTGTGTCAAGATCAAATTTACGCATAAATGGTGCCAATATTTGGGCTTGCTTGTGAGCTCAGCCAATGGGATTGCAGGAAAAAGAAACATCATGGCCCACATCAACCAATGAAATTGCAGGAATTGTAAAGCCTGTCCTCATACCAATAAAAGGATCAGGAAAGGACACCAGTCGAAGTCAACTCACGACCCAGATTGGAACACTGTTTGTCGGTATTTATTTAAATTAGGCTGCCTCTGATTGAGCTGGCTACGGCTAGTCATAACACACGTGGCTATACGAAGTGGCTTCAGCCACTCCCATAGGCGCGTGTGTGATTGTAAAGCCGCAGCCAAGTAATTTGGAGACATGGTGGTCATTTTCAAACACCATTGTTTTAGGGAGTAAAATTATACTGTACATAATTACATGTCTTAGGCCTAATTAAAACAAAATGTAAACACCCATCTAGAAAGACTTGTGATATGGCATGTATGGTCGGTGAGGCTGTCTTACCATAATAAGAAAGACAAATTTTAACAGATTTGTGGCAATACGCAGACATGACATGTAAGAACTCAATTTACCATATACAGTCGGCCATTTTTTTTTTGGAATCCCAGAAACGACATTACTACTGGCAAGATTTGTTTTTGTCTGATAGCAACCAGTTTTACTACAAGTATTAATGTATGCACACGAAGCATATTCTATTAAAAATGCATGTAAGCTATGAAGTACATGTACATATACTCGGACCAACAAAATTTGCCAGATATACAACTTGCAAAATGACAGCAAATATATAAAAGAAAAAATAACGGATGGTCTCAAAACTTTAAAATATCATGTTTACTGCAGCGAAACAATAATGAAAAAATCAACGGGAAACTCTTAACAGGAATAAGAAATGTGACCTCTGGCTAGGACGCAACCTCAATCCAGCAAAATCCTCCAAATGCCACCAAGAAAAAAATTGGCTTCAGCCTCAATCCTCCAAAATTATCCGTTACTTCTTGAATTTAGTCAGTGGAGGGTGACAACTGCCTCAATCCTCCAAAAATCTTATGCCAATTACTGCTATGGTTTGAGGCAGTGCGAATGGCGTTTAGAAGCAGTGCGGATGAAATACGAGAAAAACACAGGGCTGATTTATGCATGGCTGAACATAACCAATGCAGGATATGGCCTACTGGCTTGACGTAATGCATCCTCCTACAAAAAAAAGCGATACATCTTTGCCATTCATCCTCAATCCTCTTAAATCATCCAAAACCAGCAGGAGTAGTTTGGAGGATTGAGGAGGGTTAAGGAAAAGACAATATTGCTGGAAAAACACAAACTTCTGTGGAATACGGCCACACTGTGGTTTGAAATGAGGAAGTACGTTAATACTGAACATACGGCTTTCGACAGTTGTCTGTTTAATAGGTTCCAGTCGAATGATGTCAAAGTACCATGTGACCATCCGGTTCCCCCCTGATTGGCCACCATTGTAGTAGGCAAGCATTTGGTTAGCAACTACGCGGTGCATTGTAAACTATACATCAGGACTTATTTTCACGTAAGATAACTGCAAATTCCTTATCAAATGGCATTTGATCACTATCTGTGCCGTGTACGGTTGTCATAATCGTGCCGCCCCAGCACTGGGTGTTGGTTTTGCGTTTTTCTCAGTTTTTGCCATCCATTGCAGCTTTGAAGGCTTGCCTACTACTTACATGTACGATCTTTGCCTACTACAATGGCGACGCTGGCTTTCCGGTACCTCGACAGAGGCAGGGTCACATGGGTCAGTGACAGCCCTCTATATGTTGGCAAGTAGCCAAACGGACATTTGTAAACAATGAACTCGCAACCCATGGTGGGCAGGCGGCCATAATACACAGGTGGTGACAATTTACAGGTGGTCACAATACACAGGTCATAATACACTTACGGCACTACTAAATGAATTCCTGAAATACAACTGGCTTGTACAGAAATATAAAAACAGACAGACAAGCGGCCACAATACACAGGTTGCCACATTAGCCATATGCCCATTATATACAGAATGACCACGATCCTCTCTGGTCATCATGTACCGCAAAGGTAGTACAGGTGGCCACAATACGCAGGTTTAAACTTTACTTGTATGCACGTACTTAAGTTAAAATTACATGTATTCTGAGAAAAACAAGTCATCTGCATTAGAACCAAAAAAAACAAATCAAATTTACAAAAATCATTTCTACCTTTACGGTAATATTTACATGGACCTTTATGAGTTGCCTTCGCAATCAAAAATGATTAATACTGTACATGTTTCTAAGGACTAATTGTACACTAATTATATTTTTTAACTGTCTATAAATTACCTTACGGTGAAGCGGAGTTATCACAGGCAGGAAATGAAGACTCAGTGGCAGGTGTTTAAAAAAAAATTATGGTCAAATTCAGTGATCGTTGACGACAGATATGCAATACAGCCAATACCCTCTTTGACCAACTGCAATCCTGGGGCCATATTCATGAAACCTTACTAACTTAGCAGCCAACTAGGCCTTAGTAGAATACTAAAATGCCTAGTGGTCTACTATGGAGTTGACAACTAAATTGTAATTCATGAAACCTTACTAAGAACCTTGCTAACTACTTACGTACTAGGAGAATTTAGTTGCATACGTGAGTAACTGGAATTGGGTGCTTTTGGGTGGAGCGGGTATGTATGAAATGTGATGACAACAGATACAATAGGCCCAAAAAAAAAAGTCTCCGGTTTCTGGTATGCGCGCGCGTTGCCGTAGCCATGCGCGTCGGCTAAATGAAAAAGTTTTTTTTTCAATGAAAGATGATGTCTCAAAACCGCCAAACTCACTGGTTTGACTGGAATCCTGCTGCTGCACAATTTTAACGTGTTTTTAGATTGGGTTATGGTCGAGAATAAGCTTTATGTGGCCTCTCTGGACTCCCATATATTTGCACTAAGTTTAGTCGGGCACCATTTGCAGTCATCAGCCGACATTTGAAGCAAAAAAATCAGGTAAAAAAAAAAAAAGGTCGCGTTGCCGCACCACTTTTTGGGCAAGTTCCATACCAGAAACCGGAGACTTTTTTTTGGCCATAGTGTGTAAGGTGTATTTGGCTAATCCATGTCATGCACTTGCGTGGATTAGCTAGTTAGTAACAAACTAGGCTTAGTAAGGTTTCATGAATATGGCCCCTTGGCTCCATTTCGCAGCGCTGCTAAGGACCCGTCTCAGTTCTTATCCAAGACGAGTTCTGGACAACTTGCGGGTAGAATCATTCACTTTGTCCGGAACAAGCTCTGCATTTGCACCGGGCATGTTCAGGGGAAAATATTTCATTAGCAACTGCTTGGCTCACCGATACTTGATAACGTTATTGCGGGGAAGATTGCGTGAAAGTTGTTCAGAATCCTGCCGCTCATACCTGTACAATGTCCGCAACTTGTCCGAAAATCGTCCCGGATATGATTTGAGACGGCCCCAAGCTGAAAATGCTTGCTTAGCAAAATTCTGGTGCTAAGCAGGAATTGGCTGGGAACCAGTTGCAAGCTGTAGACAACCCATGAGTTCTTAGCTGGTAACCCATTTTTGCTAAGCGATTTTTTTTCTTCTGTGCTTTGCGGATATTCACGATTAAATAGAAGCTTCATGACATTAGCCTCGGTGTTGGTGGAAAATGCACTTTGGCGCCCTCTTGTGGTGGCGCAAGGATAAAACGTTTTGTGGTCCGTGGGTGTGCTATGCATCCGATGCCCCGGCGTCGTTTTTGACCGTCACGCCGTCTGATTGGTTCTTGTCTTGGTCTGGTTGCGTTGCTTTAGTCTCCTCCTGTTTGGCGCCATCTTGCTGCGGCCAGGCATCGTCGCCGACTTCAAACTACAAAAAATAAACAAAAAATGAGTCCAAAGGCAGGCGTAATTAATGCTCACAACACTTGACAGAATAGCAGTAGTTCAGATCGGTTTGAAGTATCGCCCTAAATCTTCCGGATCCTTAACCTTCCAAGATCTTTCAAAATCCATCCAGAAGTTTGAAGGATTTTGCAAGATTGAGGAATGTACATGTAGTAATCTTAAATGGGGCTAGATGCCCCTTGAAAGTTAAAGTACAAGGGATGTGCTACTGTTTTCTTTCGTAGTGGTGACAATGGAGCAAATATGTGGAGTGCCATGGCCTCCTGGTCTGGAGCATTGCATTCGTGGCCTGTGGGCAATTCTGCAGGTCGTGGGTTCGAGTCCAGCCTGCGGCTATGGTGCGTGTGCCCTTGAGCAAGGCACTTTGTCACTCATTGCTTCTCCCCACCCAGGAGTAAATGGGTACCTGTGAGGGCAGAGATGATTATTGTGGTTGATTTTCGGCTGCTTTGCGCCGAAATGGCAGCATCAAGCTGTATACTTCCCAGGGAGCTGAGATTGTCTTTGGAATGTTTCATTGGCCCAATGAGCAGGGTAATAATGATGTAGCGCCTTGAGCACCAATAATGGTGAATATGTGTGCTTTATAAATATGCATTATTATTATTATTATTAAATATGACCAGGGATATAGAGTTAAAGCTCTAGTACTTCTTGTTAGCATGCATTTTGTTTTCACACACTTTAGTTTTCCACATAGCATTATACAACATACATTTATTGAACTTAGCTGTAGAAATTTGAGGTAGCACTGTGGAAATATATATGTACATATATATGAAAATGTTTTTCTGACAAAAGCTGATGTTTTTCGTAAGTAACACCTTCTTCAATATAATGTAATTTTTTTTGACGACGAAATGATTGCCTTGGAAGTCAATGGACAAATGTGCTGAGCAATTACAAGTACATGAAATGATACATGGGAAATAGAAGCAGGAAAAAAGGCTTTGTACTACGTGGACGAAATTGATCAGCTCAATGTGACTAAATGATGTGGATTTTTTTAATAAAATGACATGCGGATCTTAGGTTTTGATTGGTTGATGTGGTCATGTGACTCGATGACATCATGAATGGCAGCTCGATGGTTGGTGAATCGATGGGTAGAATAAGCGACTGATCTGATTATGATGATGATGATATAATCAGTTCAAGACTCATCTTACTTAGGTGTTGGAGGAGGCTGAATGGTCCTGCCAGGATATAATCCCTTGATTGGGCTTTTTAGAGCTGGCCTGTTTAAACAAAAATTCCAACCATTTCATGCCTACAGACAGAGTTGAAGGGAATATACAACATTTGCAAACATCGAAAAACAAAACTACCGGTACCTACTTTTACGAAATACCTTACTAGGATGTTGGTAAATGACAGTCTAAAGCATCCTGTAAAATTATGGCACCAGGTGTGAAGTCATTTTCAAGAAAATGGTATTTTTGTATACATTTCCAACGGTGGTCTGACCAGCGTTGGAAAAACCTAACTATTTTTCAACTACTGCTCCAAATTAACCTTTTTTTTTCAGTCCAAATTTTGTTTGCTATTGGTTACATGTTTCATGAATGGGTGCAGGCCAGCTAGACTGGTTCCCGTTCCTTACAATTTTCCATCATCTATAAATTGATCCATTTTATCTTTTGTGGAGTCAGGGAACCAGACTACTTAAACATTTTTGTTTTTCTTGGTTTTTCCAACCTTTTTGAACACAAAACCTCAAAAATGTCAGTGTAACAATAATTGATCTATAGGGCCTATATACTAACCCCTCAAATAGTTCATTTCTGAAAATTACATCAAAAAACAATGATGTACATTCCCTTTAAAGGTAGGGTAGATCATTTGTCATTTGTGCCATTTTTTTTCGTTTGACACACTAAAAAGTGCTCAAAATCTAAAGACGGGTAACAACCAACCTGGTGAAGTTTTAGCTCAGTGAATGCTGTATATATTCTGAGAAAACAATATTCAAGGATTTCGGTTTCAATTCAAAAGTTGCAGATCCATGTTTTGAATTACGCCCGAAATCAGCATCCGGGACACGTTCTCTCATCCAGCTGATTGCAGCTACGCGATCTGACGAATGATAGCAACCGCGCGCGTGTGTGCGGCGTGTCAACGTTTGCACGCACGAATTCACGGATTTGCCAAATTACAAACCAACTACTTACAGAAAATTCCAAAAATGTGACGCATCTTTGGAAATGGCCTTTTTTGTGTGTGTTTTCTTCAAAATGAACTTATGCCAGAAAGAATAATTTCACAGGTAGTTTAGTGCCAGTTCTATCTTTAAACCAAGTAAGCTTTTCAACAATAATTTTGTCAGTTACTTTTTGGATAGCTGCAAATGATCTACTCTTCCTTTCACCTTTTAGCACTTGTATTAAATTGTAGTACATTGCATTTTCTCCTCCATGAATAAAACCATGGATTATTGGGGCGGTCTTGGGCGGTATGAGGAATAACAGGCGGGGCAATTCGGGGCAGTACAAGGGCTAAAGGGTTAATCTACTAACACGTTCAGAATACAGACAAATGTACACACTATCAAGCACAGGGACCTTTTTTCCAAGTGATGCATCTAAAAGATTCGCGTCGGACAAAGAGCGAGCTAAGGCCAGTGATTTTAATGGAGAAAATCGACAGAGTTTCTGGATTTTCATAAATTAAGTTGTTTATGTATCAATTTCAATTCTGTTTTCTCAAATGAAAAGCTGAACAATTGTAAATAATCAGTACACTACCACATCTTTGACAATACTGGGAAAAAAATAAAATATCTGAGAAATTTGGAAGAATACAAAGTGTACCAACATCAAGTCAAACCATGTAAAAAGGGTGATTCCGTAATCTCCAACTCTCTGCGTACTTCCGACCACATGATGTACAAGATCGTTAAGGTGGTGGTACTTTACTTCGGTCTGAAATTGTTTTCTACTCATTAGATGTCACATATTGGTAACGTATCTCAATCACTTTTTCAACAGCAGCTCATAAACCCTAACTCCCTAGTGTATTTTACTAAGGACTGGACCAAGTCCGCCCAAATCCTACACGACCCTGCTTCACATAATGCTTTATGACCAACTCCACCGAAATCCACCACAAGACCACCACTGCTATACAGTGTAGGTGGATTTTGATGGACTTGGTATGGATGGCTTATCTGCCAAAATCCTCCCGGGGGGGGGGGGGGGGGGGGATTTTGATGGGGTTGGGAAAGTTAGGCTTGAAGTGTCTGACATGTGCGTCCGAATTTACGGAATTGCCCCCAAATAGAACTTGATAAACATGAACCGGTGACCTCGCATCTGACCTGACTTATAATCAGAAATTCGATTGGACATTGTGATTTACTTGTGACTGACGTGTGATGGACTTGTGATGGACCTGTAATTAACTTACAATTTGACTTGTGACTGACTTGTACTTGTGGAGTGCTGTGGTCCAATGGTTACGATGTTCGACTCGTGTGCCATGGTACATGGGTTCGAATCCTGACCGTGGGAATATGGTGCTTGTGCTCTTGAGCAAGGCACTTTACCATTATTGCTTCGTCCTTCGGATGGGACGTAAAGCCGTAGGTCCCGTGTGTTGTGTAATGCACGTTAAAGATCCCAGTAACACTTATCGCTAAGAGAAGGGGTTTGCCCCGGTGTTTCTGGCAGTGGCTGCAATATGCACCGCAGTACCTTGTAAACCATTATAAGGAACTACATAATGGGTCTCATATTTCTCGTAAACTTTATTTACCTTTCTTTAATAATAGACATAATTTCCAGCGCCTTGAGTACCTAATTGTTGGTAGATACATGCACTATATAAGACTCTGATATTATTATTATTATTAATTGACTTGACTTGTGATAGACCTGACTATAATCCTGCTACCTAGACAGGTGGTACAGATACTAAAAAAGACCAGACAGAAAAAACACCTCAACTCACCTTAACTGAGCCAAAGTCGGCAAAGCTGGCGAAAGGGTCCGCTGCCGCGCCCCCCTCCTTCGTCGTGGTGCTCGACGACGACGCAAAGGGATCCCCACCAAAGGGGTCAGCCGGCGACGTCATCGAGGCAAACGGGTCGGCGCCCGACTCACTGCCGAATGCCGCGAACGCCGCGTCGGTGGAGCCGGCCGTGGAAGTGGACGTAGTACTGGCTGTGGCGGGGACAGTGGAGGATTTGGAGGTGCTGGTTTTGCTCTTCTTGGGAGGCAGGGCCGGGGTTTCCTCTTTAGGGTTGAAGGGGTCGCTGCCGAATGTGTCTGCTCCAGAGTTCTGGTGAAGACGAAAAGGGAAATAAAAACATTTAACATCTTTGCGAATTTTTTTTACAGATTAACATAAAGAGTAGGTGAGAGTTTTGGGCTGTCTTACCTTCATGAATGCATCTGGTTTGAAGGCATCTCCGCCGAAGGGATCAATAGACCCAAATGCTGTCAAAAGAAAAATATAATTTAGTTAACCATCAAAACTCTGAAGAAAAGAAAAGTTTATACAGAGTAAAGGAAATGGTTATTGTAAGGGGTGCATTTTAGGCTAATGCAAACGTAGCTCATGGGCCATCGGTCACCCTCAAATCCTCTGCAGATTAGGCCAAAAAAAAAAGTCTCCGGTTTCTGGTATGGAGCTTGCCCCAAAAGTTGTGCGGCGACGCGGCTTTTTTTTTTTTTTTACCTGTTTTTTTGGTTTTTTTTGGCTTCAAATGTCGGCTGATGACTGCAAATGGTGCCCGACTAAACTTAGTGCAAATATATGGGAGTCCAAAGAGGCCACATAAAGCTTATTCTCGATCATAACCCAATCTAAAAACACGTTAAAATTGTGCAGCAGCAGAATTCCAGTCGAACCAGTGAGTTTGGCGGTTTTGAGACGTCATCTTGTATTGAAAAAAAAACTGTTTCATTTTGCCGACGCGCATGGCTACGGCGACGCGCGCGCATACCAGAAACCGAAGACTTTTTTTTTTTGGCCTTATTTAGTGGATTTTCACTGCCCCCAAATCTCACCCCTGCAACAGACTCTAGACTTGAACCTGCTACATTTTGTCAAGATGACTGCTTTTTTTTAATCCTTTTTTCCCAAGTTTTCCCAACAAAAAGGCATTACATTTTAGGGGAAACCTCTTTGAAAATATATGGTCCAATCTGGTTTTGAAGCTCACCGTCCGTCGTGGAAGTTGTGGTCGTGCCTCCCGCCTTAAAAGGATCGTTACTCTTAAATGGATCATCAGTCCCGGCCGACGAAGAGGCAGAAGCGAATGGATCGTCAGCTTTGGCCCCAAAGGGGTCGCCGCCCTTGAAGGGGTCAGAGTTCATGTCCTTGAACGGGTCAGGGGTCGTCTTGGAGTTGAATGGGTCGGCGGTGGTGCTCGGGAAGGGGTCCGAGCTTGTGCTGCTTGGGAAGGGGTCCGAGCTCGTTGAATTCTTGAAGGGGTCAGCACCAAAAGGGTCGGATGAGAAGCCTTCGTTTTTGAAGGGATCTGTGGGTGAAGTTTACACGACATAAAAATGTTTTAAAACGATACCTTTATAATGGGCACATATTCTTAAATGCGACCTGTCACCACGACACGAGCAAAAAGTCAGAAATTGCAATTTTGGAGTACAGTGCGGCAAAGCCAAAACTTGAAGGAGTGGTCTTTTTCTTTTCTCTTCAGGTGACCCATTATCTGTGAGTCCTGGTATACCATTCCCAACTGTTTTTGTTCCTTGAAACATCTTTAAAACCTATTTTCATCCTGTTTTATTAGTTGACTGTTCATCGTAATACAACATGTACAACAGCGTGATTTTGAAATGCTGTTTTCTCAAAAATAACGGAAATAAAAATGTGCCAACCTGACACCATTTTTTTCTTAATATATCATCTCAATGAAGGTCAGTCATTGCAAAAACGATAAGACATGAATCTGGGACTGAGAAAAATTTCCAATTTTGTCAGGAAATAAATTTGAAAATTGTCTTGACTCTCCATAGACTTTGTACACAACCGCTGAAGTGGCGTCAGGATGCAACACTCTTTCCAAAATAACTTCTTCAACTTCAATTTAGTTGGCGATCTGTATTTCCATTACTGAACTCAGTAGCCCCAAGTGTTATGTACCATTCGAAAGCTCTTGTTCTACAGAATCCAGAAGTTTAAATATCTCTCAATTATTAACAACTCTAACTTTATGTTTATTTTGTGGTGACATGTCACAACTGTTTACGCTGGAAAGTGCTGCATCAGTGTTACCCCTGCTCAGCAGGCCAATACAAAATTCTTAGGACCTTCTCGGCTCCCCTAGGGAGACACGAGAATCAACCTGGAAAACACTTACCTTCTGTGAACGGATCTGACGATTGGAAGGGGTCGGAAGCAAATGGGTCTCGGCCTTTGAATGGATCATCCTGCAGGTGTAAGGGGTAAACATTTAGGGAAACCTTCAGCGAAAAACATCAAACACAATAAACTGTTTATAATATACCTGGTAAACTCGATAGATTGTTGCAGATCGGTGAAAAATGTCTAAACTAACATTCATCATTCTTGAAACTTTATCATTTACAATGAAAGAACGTCCTTCTAAATTACTTGGTTTTAAAATTTTGTACCTGTTTTTTGTTTTGTCTACTGCCTACAAATTTTGGCACAAGTCTTGTAAAATGAATGTCACTTGTCTACTACAATTATGAGCTACCGCTCGTGGATTTTATACCTGAAATTCGAGCGCTGAATATGGACAAAGAATTTTTATCGGAAATGTGGGCGAAGCATAAAGTGCATTGCTTTTGTGTGCCACTGTGTTTTGTAATGATGCAAAGCATACTTACATCTACAATCACAAATTCTTGTTTCAAATTCAAGCCCATGGTCAATTTACGCTCATGAACCTTGACCTATGTGACCTTTGACCTACCTTGAAGTCGTCCTCGGTCTGTCTGCTCTCGGACGTCATGCTAAAGCCACTAACACTACTGACTGGGCTATTGCCCGCCTGAGCAAAATGGGAAAAGCATGTGAAGAGTCACATTGATGAGGAAAGATTGCAGCAATAGTATTTTCATTTTGCAAGAAAAAGCATTTGTATCTATTTTGGTTTATTTTGGTAAGCGTAATTAAAATCCCAAGCATGCTCTTGTTTCAATCTTAATCTTTTTTTTACAGTCATAGCTTTGTGGAAATGTCTCAATGAAGTTAAAAAAATGAATCTCATAATTTTCCTTTCAGATTAACCCTAACAGAACTCAACCCATCAAACCCCAACGGCATGTTTTGTTGGAATCTGTCAGGATGGGTACAGTACCCCTAAACTGACAGCCTTTTGCATTGGGTTGGCACACCTCCAGAATAAACGTCAGAAATATGTGTGTGCAGTTTCCCAAGTTCCACGAATGGACCGATCCAGTAAGCCCCTCCCACTGCGCACTGGGCAAATTAACACGTGCTCCTCTCCAATGCCATGCTGCATTTTCCTGCCGCGTGCATCATACGCGCGTGCACGCATGTCAGACTTTTGTGCACGCACGTCGGACATAAATCACGGCCGTGATTGGTCAGAATACCACGGGGCGGTGCTTTCTGGATCGGTCCATTGGGAACGGCCATAATAGTTGGTCTGTCGTATGGGTTTACATACCACCACCAGCAGCTTGACCAGCATTACTACTGCTACAAGGTTGAGAATCTAGGAGTTAATCTTTGGGTACTACTTCCCCTGTACTACTGACCGGTAGCTATAATTTTATTTCCCTGACGCACTGGAACATTGACCAATGAAAGAAGCGCGTTTGGCTCATACATATATGCATGAGGTGTAACAATAAGGAAGACTCACCGTTGCTCTGGTGCTGAGGAGATCAGTATCGATGGAGGATATTCTACTGAGGGGGCCCAGTTCCTCGATCCCCTGGATAGTACCCTGGTTGTTGTTAGCGTGAGGGATACCGGGCGGCATCAGCGTCGTCTGGTCCAACTGCTGGATCTGGCTGTTCAAATGGTTCTTGCTTTCTACGAGGCTCTTCAGTTTGGCTTGAAGCTGGGGTCAGTAAGAAGATATTATTGAAAGACATTTAAAAACATAACATATTCTGAAATGACAGCAGTTTATTTCTTTTTTTGAAATTGAAAGTAACCTGAGATATAAAGGTAAGAAGGTTTCTCAGCTGTGCATCTTGAACTAGTTTGGCAACTTCCAATACTTTGGGGAGAAAATATCGCATATCCACCTTCAAACCATGCCATATTTGAATATTGACCCGATGCCTGGAATCGTGTAACATGCTCCACTCCAACAACATGGCTACTATACCACTTGAAGCTGTCAATATTTTCTATATACCCAGTAAACCCGATGTTGGGAGCCCAGTTACATGTTCTTGTTGAAATTCTTGCTCAACCTCTTTAGTAGACACCCACTTCATGCCTATGTTATCCATCAAATCAGTCAATATTTGTATAGTATACAACTGAAAGCAGTCAATATTTTATTATATTAGCCTGAAATGTGAAGTCTAAAACCTGTTGGAATTGTTGCTTGAATCCTTTACAGATTATGCCTACTTTACTCCCAGCAGTCAATAGTTGTCTACAGTACCCCTCAAAGCAGTCCATATTTTTTATATTACCCATATGTATGGCAAAGCAGTCAATAATTTTTTGTATTAACCTGATATGTTGAGTCTAAATACCTGTATGCAATTATTGCGTGAATGCTTTAAAGGATATGCCTACTTTACTCCCAGCAGTCAATAGTTGTATACTATATCCCTCAAGCAGTCAATACTTTGTATATTAACCTGATATATGGAATCTAAATACCTGTCTGCAATTCTTGCTTGAATCCTTTACAGGATATGCCAACTTTATATGTCAATGGTTGTCTACTTTAAACCTCGGAGCAGTCAATATTTATATATTAACCCGATACGTGGAGTCTACGTTACCTGTTGAAAATCTTGCTCCACTCCCTTAGTGGACTCCTTGACCATGTCTAGCTGGGTCTTGCCAGACTCCAGCTGTTGCTCCAGCTTGACCTCCTCTTGTCTCAGGTTGTTGAGCTCTCCCCGGGCAGTCTTCAGCTCTTCCTCCTGAGCCTAGAGGATGGAATCGCACAAAGGAATGAGACACAGGGAAAGTATTAGGGGAAATAAATCAACAGTGGTATATTAGGGGCGATTCATATGTGCTGTAGTGCACCACCAAGAAGTTGCCACCGAGTGGTAATTTTTGCAACTCGTATTGGGCAAAAGTAGACATCCACAAGGACACATTAATGTTTTTTAAGCTCTAGCAACAGACCTTCTACAAGTCACTTGGGTGTTGGTCGGTGGTTCCCCCCCCCCCAAAAAAAAAATTGACCAAAAACGAACCCCTACGGCCGTGTCCGCACTGGACTTTTTTTTGGGAAGGTTTTACCGAGACGATGGTAAAATGAGAAATGGTACAATGTGACCACTGTCCGCACTTGGACTTTCGACACAGGAAAATTTACCCAGACCGCGTGGGAGAAGTAACTGAGCTGTCACAGTGTCAGTATAATGACTCACCGTACACAGAAAACAAATTGCCAATCACATTTTCAGCTGCCGCTACGCACAGTAATATTACACACGCCATTTGCATGCACAACATAATCGTTTACACGATATTATTTCATCTTGACACGCTAAATCTTGACGAAAAGGCCTATAATTCTGACGCATTTGTGATGCACATCGTCGAAGCCATGCCGCTGTACGATGTTCCGTGCGGCAGCAGTGCCATCAGTATTCGTTGGTTCCCATCGCATGCTTACAGAATCGAAGCTATGATGTGGGCCAGGAACCAGTGACTACGGCCTACATACGGTACCGGACCATGATGTTCCGTGCATGACTACAGTAGCGTATCAGGACGAATTTGGATCGTAGAAAATAACATACATCGGTGGAGAAAGAGAATTTCCGCAAATCAATTCTCAGAACGTGATCTCTCTTCTCTGTGTATGTATTTGTCCGTTGAAATGTATATTTTAACGAGATTTTACCGCTCGGACTTGATGATACACCGCAAACAGCGTGTTTCTACAAAATGTTCGGCCACTGCACGTGCATGTTCGTGCGGTCTCTGTATGCATAACAGGGCGCTCGGGCCGGATGTACGCTTTCCTGAGCCGCTTTTACCGACTCGCACTGTCCGCACTGGACTTATCGTCTTGGGAAAAGTGACCTGGTCAGTTTTCCTAGGCGCGTGGGAAGTTTTCCTGGGCAGCAGTTGGCCAGTAAAAGTAACCGCTGGACTCAGGAAAAGTGACCGAGAGGAAATCGTCCTAGGCTGTCCGCACTGGACTTAAAATGGGAAAAGTACCCATAGTCTCGGTTAGTTTGACCAAAAAAAGTCCAGTGCGGACAGGGCTTTACTCACCCATAAAACTGCAAATGTACCAAATTGTAACTGTCCGCAAAAAGCAAACAAACTATGATCTTAATCTGATCTCCACATATCTTTATGCTGCTCTCATGTGAGAATACCTGATTCTGCAGCTTACCCAGCTGAGTCTCGGTGTACTGCTGTTGGACCTCATAATCTCCTTAATCTCATTCTATAATCTCCTCCTTAATCTCATTCTAATTCTATAATCTGCTTCTAAATCTGATTTCTTCAGTCTCTTCAATTTCAACATTCCTTTATGCTTGTCTCCAGGAAGGATATATCTGATTCTGGAGATTATCCAAGTCCTGCTGGGTCCCAGTGCACTGCTGCTTGACCTCATAATCTCCTCAATCCCATTGCATGATCTTGTCCTTAATCTCTTCCTTAATCCCATTGAGATTATCCACGTCCTGCTGGGTGTCCGTGCACTGCAGATTGACCTCATAATCTTAATCCCAGTCCATAATATCATACATTTTAATCTCTTCCTTAATCCCATTTCTTAATCTCCTTAATCTGACATCGTCATACCTTTATGCTGGTCTCCTGGGAGGATATCCGATTCTGGAGATTATCCACGTCCTGCTGGGTGTCCGTGCACTGCTGCTTGACCTCCGACAGTAATCCCTCCAGCTTAGTCCGCTGCTGATCCAGCTCGTCTAATCTCTTCTGGGCCTCGGCCTTCTGCGTCTCCAGCTGCCGGCACTGGGTCATGGACTTGTCCAACTCGCTCTGAAGGCCCTAGGTGGCAGGAATACAACAAGGAAATTCAACCAAGGTTTCATGATTTGAAATTATGAAAATTTGAGCTTTGAGGTTATGAAAATGAAGTCTTTAGTACTTCTGTATAAACCACTGAAAATCATTTTCAAATAAATAAAAAAAAGACAAAAAAAAAAGAGGTTTGAAAAATGTTCTGATTCATGGACTGTGGTGTGAATTACCAATGACGACAGTAACAAAGCCTTGGCCAAATTGGATTGAAACTGAAGTATACTAAGCATGCATATCTTTAGATGTTTGCTAGATAAAAAAAAAATCTGTCATTGGACGTAAATTATCTTAAGGGGGATCCACCCCCATCCCCTGGCTTTGGGAAGGGCCAAAAATCCAGCTCTCTGTGAAGGGCAGAACCTCTTTGTAATGTTTTTGATACACCCTAAACCCACTTCCTGACCCTTTCCACCTTCCAACCCTCAGTGTTTGCCTGTACTTCAGGCATGCAAGTGGGAATTTAGAGGAAAAAAAACGAGGAAATTCAAAGCCACACAAGACTTTGTACAGTGTTTTTCAATCTCTAACTGCATTCATGAGAAGTAAAAAAGTGGCAATCAGCGGATCCGAGGAAAAGTTGCATGCCTGGTACTTGTTGAGTCTTCATCTCGACAGGTTTTTGTATATTCCTGATATTAGCGGTACACCCTTCACCCCGTCCAGGCACAAGTAAAACACAAGGCCTTTCATAAGTAAAGCCCGCCACACACAACATCTACTTGCTGAGCAAACAGTAATTCGAGGCCATTTGCTCAGCACGTAGTTCACAAAATATCCCAGTGTGCAGAGAATTTTTGGTGAGTTTTCTGCCTCGCAAGGCCGTGAGGCAAATGTCTTTCACATTTGATTTCTTTCGCCTCTCAAGGGGAACAACTCACAGTGTGCAGTCAACCTGAACTATGTACTGAGCTAAAAAGACTAACTAGCAAATGGAAGCACATTATTCTTGCTTGTCGGTCGTATTGTTTACCTGTACTTCTAGCGTCTTCATCTTGACGTGCTCCTCTTTCGTCCGGATGTCAATCTGCAGTTGGCTCTTCTCTTTGCTGAGATTCTCAATCTCTTTGCTGATGGCGTCCAGCTCCTTGATGGCTGAGAAGTCCCCTTGGGAGCCTAGGCCGGCTGCTAGATCCTAAAAAAAACAACACAGGAAAAAACTCTAAAATTGGCTCTGAACTCTAATATTTTTGTCTTTTTTTTTTGACAGGACTTATTTTCGAATCCTCAAAAAACAATCACTGAGCTGCAACAAACTGGGGATCAAGCCCCATGAATAACTAACAGCTGGGCTTTACTTTCCGCAAATCCTGCCTAAAAAAGTCAAAACCTCTAGGAGAATTTTATTCGTTGAAATTTTAGTACAAAAAAATCAAACTTTGCGAGGTATTTTTGGAAATAAACCTGAAAAAGCTGGAATTCTGATTACGATCGGGAAAAAGTTTTATCTCTGCTTACTTGTAATCCACCGATGCCTGCCTTGCCCGGCTTAGGTCTTAGCGTCGGCGGTACCATCTCTGGCGTCAGTGCCTGGGGTGGGTTGGTCCCTGCTTTGGCTTGGTTGACCAGGTACATGACCAGGGCAAACTGCTCGGCGTTGAGCTGGCCTGTCTGCTTGGTGTCGCACAGATTCCTGTCAACGAAGGAACATTTATTCCAGGTTAGGCCAAAAAAAAAAAAAATTCGGTCTCTGGTCAGACCAAAGTTCCGGAATTGACGCGGCCACGCGGCTTTTTTTTTTTCTTTCTTCAAGCTTGGATTGTACAGACAAGGTGGGGTACTATTTTCCTTATTTGGTGTCCTCATGTACATTGGTGTCCTCCATAATTTGCCTTGGTGCTTTCTATCATTTGCCTTGGTGCAATTTCCCATTCCTTGGTGCTCTTTGGTAAAAAAAATTGAGGAGGTGCGGAAATAGAGGGCGCTGTTGGAGCTACCGCGGAACATTTTGAAAAAAAAAAGATCGACGCGCATGATTAAAATCGACGCCCGCGCTGACCAGAGACCGACTTATTCTTTTTTTTGGCCTTATCGTCGAGTAAAGGAAAGGCTCACCTGTTGAACACAAACAGCTGACTGGAGTAGATTGGAAAGTGTAAACACTGTAAGGAGAATTTCATTCTCTTTCCTAATACCTGCAAACCCTCATTTCAACCTCTGCCCAATTCTGTCTCATTTTGCCAGCACGCCTCACATACAGGAGCCCTTCCTTCAAAACCTACCATATCTGTGCCAGTATATTCTGGGGTAGTCCTGACTGTAGTAGTAGCGGTCTGATCTCTTCGCCTCCGACCAGTCCGTCTTTGTCGGTGTCTATCAGGCTGAATGTCTGATCCCACGTGGCTTTTTCTTCCGACGTTACGACCCACGTGCTCTGCTCCTGAAGGAGTCACAACATGAAAGTGTTGTAGTTTAGTCCAGCCGCAAGTCAATTTCACAAGTCAATTCACCAGTCTGGTCACAAGTATCAAGGGGGTGAACAATGACAAAGGAATGCTGTTGTCCACAGTTCATTTGAATAGCCTGTGACTTGACTTGGGACTGGAGGACTTGTGACTGACTTGTGATAGATTTGAACAGACTACATTACTGCAACTTAATAATACCCGAGTCTTATATAGCGCAACAATTAGGTACTCAAGGCGCTGGAAATTATGTCTACCATTAAAGAAAGGTAAAATAAAGTTATGAGAAATATGAGACCCATTATGTAGCACCTTATAAGGGTTGATAAGGTGCTGCGGCACATATAGCAGTCACTGCCAGAAACACCGGGGCAAACCCCTTCTCTTAGCGATAAGTGTTGCTGGGTTCTTTAACGTGCATTACACATCACACGGGACCTACAGCTTTACGTCCCATCCGAAGGACGAAGCAATAATGGTAAAGTGCCTTGCTCAAGAGTACAAGCACCATGTTCCAACGGTCAGGATTTGAACTCATGTACCACGGCTTACGAGTCTAACACCGTAACCATTGGACCACAGCACCCCACAACTTTTCATAACATAAGGCAGGGTGTGGACATCAGGCAACTTAATAATCAGCCTTTAATTAATCTATAAGCCTTTAATTAATCTATTTTCTTGGACCCCGATAGGTAGCCGATTTTTGCGGGGGGGGGGGAAGGAAATCAGAGAGCCCGGAGAAAAAGCCTCGTGGCACAGGAGAGAACCAACACACAACTCTACACACATATGGTCCAAGCCGGGAATCGAACCTGGGCCACAGTGGTGAGAGGCAAGCGCTTTACCCACTAGCCACCCATGCCACCCTATAACATAGACGCTTGTTAAAAAACAATTAGTAACTTTTCAATTCGGAGGATTCACAATGCAGTGCACCACCAAGAGTTTGCCACTGAGAGTTCATTTCTCCCAGCGCATTGTGGGAGATGGTCAACAATTTCGCAGCGCGGGACATTTGAAATTATTATTTTTTTTTTTCGGTCAGTAGATTCATAAGCATATGATTCGAGTATCTGTTTGCCCTTTTCTTTTCAATATGGTGTTTTTTGTAAGGCAGCAGAACGCTATGCCCCAATCAATAACAAATTAGCTCAAGTTGTCTACTGACACTCATTCAAATGGGCCACGTTTTGTCGACAGTTAACTTGAAAAATGGACTCTCCATGGCAAACTCTTGGTGGGGTACTGCATTGTGAATCGCTCAAATTTTTTTTTTTGGTGGCATTTGATACTGGTTGTTGCCCCACTATTACCTGTTTAGTGGCTAGTACTGGAGATCCTCTCGGCGACCCATCGGAAGGAATCGGTGGTGTCGCCCTCTTGGTGGACATGGCGGCAGGCATGACGGCGACGGCCCCCGCCATGGGGGGTTTCTTGCGCTTGGGCGGGGGGATGAGTTGGGGTGGGAGGGTCATGGGGGTGGGTTCCTTCTCCAAGGCTCGGTACACCAAATGCATTGCCTGCAACAACCCCAATAAAAGTTGCATCACACTGACAAGTTCCACGGCCACTGAGTTTCCGCTTTACCAAAAATTTTATTATTTGCATATGAACCACAAAGGGAAAGGTGCATTATAATAATTTTCAAGTTGAACAAAGAAATTGACTGGAGTGGGGTCTGAACCTGCGACCTCCGGATTGCCGTTCCGGTGCTCTAGCAACTGAGCTATCCAGCCCTATGCTAGTTGTTCACTAATTTTGTCAATGTCTTTGTTCAAGGGGCGCTAGTCAGAAGCCATATATACCATGTAGCCAGGGATCATGCCCAAAGTCACCATGCTAGCAACATTAGGAACCCGGGAAATAGCAAACGGGGATCACTCAGAGTGGATACAGCTTTTTACAGGGGTAAGTAAATAAAACACGAAACCCAAGTGTCGGGACCATTGTTTTAGTGAAGTTCTGCATGCAGCACTTTCAAAATCTAGGATATGAAAACCCAAATCATATGCTCTCTTTCAGTACAAGAATCATTCAAATCACTCATGTACTTTTCAAGTTACGGAATTTTAAACACAACCACTGTTTTAAAGTTCTGTCCAAGGATCACAAAAGGTAAGTTTTCTTTCAGCAAAACGAAAACAAATCACATAGGGATGTGTGTGAATGTTGTTTTCTTTTTGCTGATAGAACGCACACCTTTTTTTGTGATCCGTGGACAGAACTTTAAAACAGTGGTTGTGTTTAAAATTCCGTAACTTGGAAAGTACATGAGTAATGTGAATGATTCTTGTACGAAATGAAAGCTTATGAATTGGGCTTTCATATCCTAGATTTTGAAAGTGCTACATGCAAAACTTCACTAAAACAATAGTCCCGACATTTGGGTTTCGTTTTTTTTTACTTACCCTGTATTCCAAATTTGAAAACAAAGACATTATAGTTTTATCTTGGCACACCATTAACTAACGTCTCAACTTACCACTGCAAATTCATCCCTGTCTAGTAAACCGTCTTTGTCAATGTCACTGAGGTCCCAAATCTGAAGACAAAACAAAATCAATAATAACATTTTCTGCATCTGATATTTTCATCTAAACAGCACCTTTCTCCAAGAAAAAAATGACATTTGAACCGACACACACTAAGCAAGAATTACACCAATAGGCCGTTTCCGCCTCTGGCCTTAAGCTCCGCCCATTTTACATGTAAGCAACTATTTGTTATAGCAACAGCCAGCATCGCAATGGAAATACAATCGTTGTGACGTTGATTTCGTCTTGCTTTGACTTGTGCATTAAAGATATAGTACATCATTTGTACTTTGTGCATTTTGTTCGTTTGAAGCAACAAAAGTGCTCAAAATCTAAAGAAGGGTGCTGAACAACTAACCTGATGAAGTTTCAGCTCAGCTTAAGCTGTTTATTTCGAGAAAAACAACATTCTAGGATCTCGATTTCAAATCAAAAGTTGCTGAATCATGTTTTGAATTGGGCCTTAATTCAGTGTCCGAGACACGTTCTCACTTAGCTGATTGCAGCTACGCGATGTCGCGCACTGATCCGACGAATTATAGCAACCGCGCGTGCGTGTGCGTCGTGCCAATGCTTGCGCGCACTTTGCCGAATAACAAAATGAACTACTAATTTAAATTTCCTACGGTGCGTCTTAAGACGCACCATTGGAAAGGCCTTCTTTCGTTGATTACTTCAAAATGACAGCTTGCCAGAAAGAATAATTTCACAGGGAGTTTAGTCCCCTTACTATCTTTCAACCAAGTTTGTTTTTCAACAATAATTACGCCAGTTACTTTTCGGATAGCTGCAAATGATGGACAATAGCTTTAAGTATGTGGGTCATTCTATAAACATAGGGTGACATTTGTGCTGTCCCTCTTACCTTGTAATTTGCCATTCAAGTATCATTAAGAATGACTTCAAAGGATTTACTATTTGTTTTGTAGATGGTTTCCAATTCATAATCACTCTCTCAGTAAATAAACATCTTAATTCAAACCCAATGCAGCACTTACCAGCAGTCTGGGTGCTCTGTTACAGGAGGGTTTTACCTCCTCTGGATGTAACCCCCATATGTACTTATTTCATCTTATTGATTTGTATAATTTATCAACTTCTTGTAATTTCTCATTGTATTTTTGTTGTACTACTGGAAATAAGCAAACAAACAAACAAAAAAACAAACACCCCAACAAACTCTTGGAGGACGACTGCATGAAGGAGTGCATCAGAATTATATAATCACAGATGCCAGATGTAACAGGGACAGAAAAAAAAAAAAAAAGTGGACCCCAAATTTATAGAATGTCCCATGTACCAACCCTTACCCTTGTCCAATTTTAAATTTGACAATCCCCCTCCCCCCCCCCAAAGAAAGAGCTTTTGGCCCCTCACTCACCCTACTAAGTACATCAACAGGAAGGTTAGAGTTCATGAAGACAGTCTTGACTTTGTCGCCCGACAATCTCTGCTCGATGGGATTCAGTCCATCAAAGATGGCATCGTACTTTAATTTCTCCTCCGGCTAAAAACACACAGACAAAAAGTCTCATTTTTTTTAGAATTTTTTATATTTTCATTGTTGTTACAACTGTATCATCAAATAAAGAAGGTTGCTCACATTTGCAACCAGGCCCAATTTCGTGGCAGTTGGCAGAAAATGTATGCTACTGTAACTCTGGCAAAAATTGTGCTAACCTAATAAAGGGGCCATGCGGTAAAATTTTCTTAGGAACACAAATGTATGAAAACTATTTGACATCCCCTTTTGGTTTAATTTTTATTGAAAAGTGCACTTATTTAAGGGTGCACTCGGGGTAAATAGGCCTAAATCCATCCGCCGAGCTCATGAATAAAAGTTATACCCTCAAAATATTCTATATTAGAGAGTTGTGAGAGCCATAAAATTGGGGAATTGAAGAGATATGGCAATAAACCTCTGGCCCAGACTTGGGCTTCCAACTCTGAGCATTTTGGATGTTTTTGGGCTCAAAATTGGTGCTATTTTGCCATGTTGTGGAGGGATCGTTTTTCAAGATGGCTACTTTTCCGCTTCGGGGGAAAATAGGGGTTGTCTTCTTCGGGTGAAAATATCTCGAAAAGTCAATGGTCAACCCACAAAAAATGAAAAGAAAATGAAAGAGGACATGTTGATCGTCATTTTTCTGTGAAGTTTAAATACCTGTGAGAGTTCTGAGTATTTTTAAAAGAATTTTGAAGTATGGGCATTTAGCACTGGTGTCCATGGGAATTTTAATACAGGGTTGCACCCTTAAACATTTTTTTAAAAATTCCATGCTTTTCCGGACAACTGAGGGCGCTGTTGCTGTGATGTCATTCTGGGAAGACACAATTCAGTTTAGGGGCTTTCATTTCAAACTGTGAACCCAATAATTTGCTCATTGAAAACATTTGTGAGCAAGGGTTGTTCATTGGCTTACTGCCATGTACTGTCACAACAACAAATCAAGAAAGAAAAGTAAATTTACGTCAGAAAATTGTGAGGACATGTGAGGACATGTGAGGATCTATGAGGACCTGTTAGGACCTGTTAGGACCTGTTAGGACCTGTGAGGACCTGTGAGGACCTGTGAGGTCCTGTGAGGACTTGGGAGGACTTGTGAGAACCTGTGAGCAGCTGTGAGGACCTGTGAGGACATGTGAGGTCCTGTGAGGTCCTGTGAGGACTTGTGAGAACATGTGAGGACCTGTGAGGACCTGTGAGGACCTGTGAGGACCTATGAGCACCTATGAGGACCTGCAATTCTGAAATTACAAGACATGGTATTACTTACTGTGACACACCACGCATGGTCTGGTGACCCTCCACTGATGGGCGGAGTTATGGAAGGGGAGTTCTGGGCACCAGATCCTTGCTGTTATAAGACAAGAGAAATGAAAGACCATCACCAAACACCAGAAGCTTACAGAAAACAGGCTAAGTACAGAATATATATTTGCTTAGCAAAACTGGTTACCAGCCAAAACGTCATGTACTGTATATTGCTTTCGACTGGTTCCCAGCTCAACTTACCATGTTAGGGATCGGTGCTGGCAAGGTAAGGTTCGATACTACGATGTCGCGTCCACTCTGCGCCAAAGCGATCAACTTCAGGGCCACAAAGAAACCCTTAAAATGAAAAGGAGTATTAAACAAAAATCATCAACATCAATGCCAATCCTTTAATACTCTAATACTGTGCCCTAGGTCGATCAGATTGGGCCAGTTGCTAATCCACTGAGTGAAAGGGCGGACTGAATTTGTCTCAAATGCATACTGCAATTATAATGAGGTCATACTGACCAAATGGCCAAGGTGATTTCACAAATAGAAAAATATACCCAATTTATGACACCCCCCCCCCCTTTTGACATCCTGTAGTAGGGCATTTCTAGGGAAAGTGGAAATAACTGAAAAAATTGACAACTTATGAAATATTCAGAACTACAAGCATCACAATCTCAAAATGTGGTATTAAATGAAACGGGACAACAAGGCTTTTTATATGAGTGGTGTGCCAGTGAGATAGAATGTGGTAAAATGTGTTGCTTTTGGGTTAATTATTTGTTTTAGGTAGTCGTTTGGGCATCTTGTATCCACATGCAAAATGCAAGTGTTCCTGTGAGTTCTTGTTTTTAAGGCAGAGAGAAAGGTTAATATTTTATGAAAATATCACACAGAACTTAGAATACCATGATTGGGGACATTATTTTTCATCACATGTATGAACTCAGACACGTAACGTCCGCAACATTTTATTGTAACGTCTGTAACAACAAAATGAAGAGCACAGTCAAGGAAATTATGATCGAAAATTCGGGTTGAAAGAGTGTTCACAGTGCAAGTAATAGTGTTTTTTTCCCCAGTTTTTCTTAACTACACGAATACAAAGGAATGTCCACAGTAGGTATGGAAGGTACAAGTGTGTGTACACAAGCAGTGTGTTCCGTCAACTAGGCCCTCAAAAGTGCTAAAAAAGTACCCTCTATTGTTTGCGCACGGAGCCCATAGGCCGATCCATCATGCCACGCCCCATGATGTCTGACCAATCACAACCATGATTTATGTCCGACATGTGTGCACAAACATCCGACATACGTGCCTGCACTTTTAATGCGCGCGGTTGGAACAAGCAGTATGGCAGTGGAGAATGCACCGGTACATGTTGTTTCCCAAGTGCACAGTGAACAGGGACTAATAGATCTGTCTGCTGAATTTGTCATGAGTCTGTTTGTTCTTCACCTGTTTGTCTAGGTGTCCTTTCCCCTGCGGGTCAGACAGCTCCCATATCTTATGCAGTAGTGTCTCTCTCAGGCCGGACCTCTTCAGAAAAGATGCCGCATCTACGGCCCCGATCTTGCCAATGCCTGTCTTATCAACCTGAGGGAGAAACACAATGGAGGTCAGATGGTGTCACAAACTGGGTGGCAAACACGGTGACAGATGTAGATTTCGTCCTCCTCTTTGGCTTCCAATTGTGGACATTAATTAACCATCCTGTGTTCGAACAGTCACAGACAGCCCAAAAATGAATCCTCTTCCCCTGCCATGCCTTTTATACAGGCTAGTCACCAACAGTCAGATCATATTTCAAGCAAGCACTGTGACTAGTCAAATTCAGTCAACATACAAAAACAGGCAGAAGTAGACACAGCTGGCTTATCAATCCCCTACAGTCAAAGCATAGGTGCATCAAGTTACATAAACAGTCTCAGCCAGTCAATCCTGCTTTATGTAGGCTGGGAGCTCTTTAGGCCTACTGTTGAAAACAGTCACTTGATTGATTTTGACTGAAAGGACAACTTGGCACTCAATGTATATTTGCATAGGAGGGTTAAAGATGTAGTGTCGGTGCTCTTTAAACATTCTAATTTTATTTCTCTAAACAAATTTTCAATTTGTATTATTCTAACCAACCAAACAAACTACCTTTTTTGTTCTATTTCGGGTGTCTGTAACCCTCTGAAAATATGAGTACACTGGTTTCCATTCCCAACAATATCGGTTCTGATATATGGGAAGGGGACCAGTCTAACCATTAGGTGATGTATAACGTATAATGTACAATGTACATGTACATAACATACATGATAACCTGGTAATTAATCTGATAAGGAAACGGAGACGTGCACATCTTTCAAAAGTGATGCAGGGCCTTGCCCTGTATAGCATACATACATTGTACATGTACCGTACAATGAACATGCACATTTGTAAATCACTAACAGATATAGTCCATCATTTGTAATTTGTGCATTTTGTTCATTTGAAGCAACAATAGTGTTCAAAATCTAATGAAGGATACTGAACAACTAACCTGATGAAGTTTCAGCTAAGCTTCAGCTGTATATTCCGAGAAAAACAGCATTCTAGGATCTCAATTTCAAATCAAAAGTTACTGAATCATGTTTTGAATTGTTTTGAATTGCAGCTATACGCAACGTTGCGCACTGTTCCGACGAATTATAGCAACCGCGCGCGCGTGTGCGTTGTGCCAATGCTTGCGTGCGCTTCGCCAAATAACAAAACGAATTACTAATTTAAATTTTCCTACGGTGCGTCTTAAGACGCACTGTTGGAAAGGCCTTCTTCCGTTGATTACTTCAAAATGACAGCTTCCGAAAAAGAATAATTTCACAGGGAGTTTAGTCCCCTTACTATCTTTCAACCAAGTATGTTTTTCAACAATTATTACGCCAGTTACTTTTTCGGATGGCTGCAAATGATGGACTATAGCTTTAAAGCATGTACAAAATACATTGTGCAATTGTAATTTCAAAAGCACATACATGTACAAGTACATGTTTATGTTTTGTTCCGGTTTTACATACTCAATGTTTACTTGGAACACATGAAAATGGACTTAAATAACCAAATTATTCATAACTATTTAAAGGCAAATTTGGAATTTAGAAATCAAGCAAAAAATCAAACCTACCGATTTTCGTTTCAATATCAATAATGAATGCGAAATCTACTAACATTGTGACATGGCATGTGTCCCCACCCATACTGAACAGATGTTTTTGTTTGTTCAACCCAGCTACTGGATATTCATGGGCCAATCCACTACGGAAGCAGGAAATCATTGTCCATGCACCATTACACTTACAGTATCTATGCGGGGCATCATATTTTTTACAGTAAGTTGAGTGGTCAAGTCAAGTGGTTTAGAGGTAGTCTGATCCACTTACATGTAGACCACTTGTAGGTTTAAAGGAACCAAACTATGAGTTTTACACTGAAATTAATTTTTAGGCGTATCTCCATGCCTCTGAAATGCATACAAATGCCCTTTTAGTATTGAGTGAATTGTTTTCCACCGTTTCAATTTTGGTTGCATTTCCTGACGCTTGAGGGCGCTGTTGCTGAAATGTAAAACTAAACAATATTACTTTAAAGGGAAAATACAACATTTGCAAACATCAAAAAATAAAACTACCAAATCATTTTGAAATACCTTGCTGGACTGTTAGTGAATGACAGTGTAAAGCATCCTGTAAAATCATGGCACCTGGTATACTGTCATTTTCAAGAAAAGTGGAATTTTTGTATCAATTTCCAACGCTGATCGGCCGATCAGCGTTGGAAAAAAACTGGCTTTTTTTCAAATACTGGCCCCAGTTGACCATCGCACTTGTTTGCAATCGATTACACACCTATGAACGGGTACAAGCCAGCTAGACTGGTTCCCTGACCTTACAATTCCCCAATGTATGTAAACTGCTCTGTTTCTTCTTATATGGAGTCAGGGAACCAGACTACAGGAAAATGATTGTTTTTCTTGGTTTTTATAGCATTTTCGAACCCAAAACCTCAAAAAAGTCAGTGTAACTATATTTGCTATATATTTCCAACCCCCCCAATTCCATCCATTTCTGAAAATTACAGCAAAAGCAAATGATGTATATTCCCTTTAAACCATGGAGCAAGGAAGAACTCATGATCTGTTATGTCTTTTCACTGACCTGCTGTAACATGGGTACATGTTTATTTTTTATGCCAAATCAACATTGAAAAACATGACCTGATTTCTTCAAATTATTCAGTTACTTCTAGAAAGGCTGTGTTTTTCAGCTTGTCAAGAAAAGGATTGAATACTGGAAAATATGTTCGTGTACCTACAGCATACAGTGTTGTCAAGTCATTACTTTGTTTTATTTTTAGGGTTCACTTTCTTACATTTCCTCCAATACTTGTACATATGTGAAAGGAAAGCTCTAATCAGCAGTCATTGCATACTTTTTCAGAATTAATCGTCACTTTGTTCACGAGACATCAAGAACTGAATATAATTAACAACTTTAATTAGAAGGAATAAGGTAGATTAGATCATATGTCATTTGTGCATTTGCTTCGTTTGAAGCAACAAAAGCGCGCAAAATCTAAAGACAGGTGCGTAACAACTTTACCTGAAGAAGTTTTTGCTAGATGCTATACATTTCAAGAACACAACATTCAAGGATCTCAATTTTTTTCAGCCGATTCCAGTCACGCACCAAACCTACGAATTATAACAACCACGCGCACGTATGCATGCGTCGTGTCAACGCTTGTGCGCGCACACCCATTCACGGATTCGCCAAATGACAAACCAACTACAAATAAAAATTTCCAAAAATGTGTCATTTGATGCGTCTTTGGAAATGGCCTTCTCTTATTGTTTTCTTCAAAATGACAGCATGCCAGAAAGAACAGTTTCACAAAGAGTTTAGTACCATTACTATCTTTAAATCAAGTAAGCTTTTCAAAAATAACTTGTCAGTTACTTTTTGGATAGCTGCAAATTAAACTCTACCTTTAAAGCATTGCAAAATTGATTCCGAGAAAATAATTCTATTGGCTTGTCACCTCATACATGTACATGAGCTATTTTGAGCCACTCTTTGCAGAGTGTTGAACAGCATACATGTACAGTCATGCCATTTCATGGGAAGTGACAACAGAATTTAGAAAGGGGAAAAAAAGGAAAAACCTTTTTGTAAGATTTGCCCTTTGAAGCGACCAGACAAATCTCCATTAACCCGGCCTTTTATTTATATCCGCCTTCTCGGCGGGCTGGCAGATTGATTACCTCCCATCCTCTCCGGGTTGCTAGGCAACCGTCTACTCCGTCCGATGCTTAATGGCATATATGCTTCCTGTGTCTGGAGTCTCGCCACTCTAGTATGATAATACAGGCTGTGTAGTTTTGTTTTTGTGGGGGTGCAGTCTCATAGAAACTAATTACACGCAAGACATTTTGGAGGAATTCCAATTTAAGTTTCTAGCTTATCTTGGCTTTGGCTTTTTCTGGAAACATCTGGAAAAAAGAGATTTTGTCTTTTTTCCTCAAATGAATTCCATCACAAATTGAACAGACTTTGATTTTTTACCTTCTTTTCTTATGTACAGCCTTTTTTTCTTATTTTTAATTTACTTGACATAAGCTATTGATTTATTACAAGCTTTCTGTGACCCTTTGTCCATCTTTAACTTGCGTAGTATGTACACTGTACCACAGCTTATAACCCCTACTCTCTGGCTGGCAATTTCAACAAGGCCAGCCCAGCAGTCAAAATAAATCAAATGACTATTTTTAACAGTTGAGTGCTCCCTGCCTTCATAAAGCAGGATTGACTGGCTGTGACTGTTATGAAACCTGATATAGCTATGCTTTGACTGTAGGAGATTGATAAACCAGCTGTGCCTACCAGTCACCTGCTTTTGTCTGTTGATGGAACTTGACTGTCACAATGCCTACCAAAAAAAAAACATGATCTGACTGTTGGTGAAAGGCATAGCAAGGGAACAGGATTGACTTTTTGACTGTCTGTGACTGATCAAACAAAAGGGTTTAATTTTGGTAAAAGGAATCTTCCCCACTGAATCCAAAAACCTTTGGCACTTTTGCTTTGAATCTTTCTGAGTAGGCCTATGCCAAGAACTATTGCCTGCTATACTGTAACCAAAAAGCACATTTTTTACGGTACTTAAAACTGGAACATCAAAAAACATGTTGACAAGATTAGGCCCCTAAGGTTTGGATTTTGACTGTTGAGTTTGAAAAATAAAAATAACATATGAGGACAGATCAGGTAAATGTTTATATGTACATTTTGATTTCCTGATTTTCCATAATAGTACTACATGTATTTGCAATGAATTTCTAACATGTCTGAATTTCTAATGTATCTGAATTTCTAACGTGGATACAGAATATCTATGTTATTGGAAATTTCGCAGTTTTGAATTCATCAAAGTCGCCCATGAAAATTTCAGGCAGAACCATCAGGTGTGTTTTGTCACTGATATGCTTTTTCGCAGCTCCGCCATCAAGCAGTCTTGATAGCAGACCTGTAATCTGACCCTGTCTCGGGCCGGCGACATCCTCTCACCGTCAGAGCCTCACGCTCGCCGGGCAGACACATATCACCCGATATTAGGTTATTACAACCTTCCCTTGAACATAACCTCTCCAAATCCCTCACAGGAGATTTACAGTCTGAGAACGGGAAGCGCGTTGTTAGCAGATTGACCTGTGATGCAGGTCAACTTAATTTAAATATTCATGAATATGCATTATGCTGGCATGACATGAGCATGCTGGTCAAGTCGGGCCAATCAGACTGCAGGTAACAGCATTGTCAAGGTGCAAGCAACCAATCAGATTTCAGAATCACTGTGGGCAGTGCCAGTCCTGGCAGGTGTGATATGAGGTTAGGTTACCAGTCTAATTCCAATCAAGCCCTTTTGTTGACAGATTTCAATTCGCCGAATCTCAACAACCCAACTCTACAGCAACACGTAGTGACTGTGAACAGATACATGTACCGGTACGAGTATATTAACAATGCTTTGTCTAGTGGTTTTCTCGCGTCGTTTGGAATTCTAATTACCCAGGAAGGTCACACGGAAACCTCATTGGCACACAACTCATCAACAATAAGGAAATGATGTCAATGATATGCAGTAGGGAAATTATAATTGAATCTCAACTGCACGCTACACAACTGGAATTTGCACGGCCAACATGTTTGTACTTGTGTAATATCTTTTTTTAAAAATTCCAAGAAAATACGGCTTAGCCACTGATTTTCCGTGACACAAATGTCCCAAATTATATTCAATATCATAAGTTATTAAAATTGGACAAGCCTGACATGCCAACCTCGCTATTCTTTAGTAGATTCTTTCCAAAAGGCAAAATGATAAATGCGGACATTAAATGAAGCCCCACACACTGTTTCAAGCACGGCCTTAAATGTGAGTTATTGCGATACAAGAAGATCAGGCAGGCAACTGGGAATTTAGGGGGGGAAACAAGAAAATTCCAAACCACAAAAGACTTTGTACAGTGTTTTTCAATTTGTAATGGCATTCATGAGAAGTACAAAAATGAGGAAATCAGCGTATCCGAGGAAAAGTTGCATGCCTGGAAGATCTAGGCCGACTTCGTCACACCCACTTTCCACTAAATGCTGAAGAAAGACGCAACACAATCGACACTGTTGACAATGAGCAAGGGGAAAAGTTGTGGACGTTTCTCAACAATACAGGGTGAGTAGGAAAAAAAACGAAACTCAAATGTCGGGACCATTGTTTTGGTGAAGTTCTGCATGTAGCTCTTTCAAAATCTAGGATATGAAAGCCCAATTCATAAGCTTTCTTTTAGTACAAGAATCATTCAAATCACTCATGTACTTTTTAAGTTACGGAATTTTAAACACAACCGCCGTTTCAAGGTTCTGTCCACGGATCACAAAAAATTCAGTGTTCTTTCAGCAAAACAAAAACAAATCACATAAGGATGTGTGTAAATTGTTTTCGTTTTGCTGAAAGAACACACACCTTTTTTTGTGATCCATGGACAGAACTTTAAAACGGTGGTTGTGTTTCAAACTCCGTAACTTGAAAAGTACATGAGTGATTTGAATGATTTTTGTACTAAAAGAAAGCTTATGAATTGGGCTTTCATATCCTAGATTTTGAAAGTGCTACATGCAGAAATTCACTAAAACAATGGTCCCGACATTTGGGTTTCGGTTTTTTTTACTCACCCTGTAGTCCACACTGCAGCCTGCATGATCATTTGAAACAAGTTTCTTTGGAATGACAACATTTTTTTTTTTTAAGTCAATATCCTGAAAGTCCAAACAGGTAGAATTACATATACCTACATGCCAGCCATAATAATGTAACCAAAAAAAAAATGGTTGGTGCCACATTTAACCCAAATAAATTAAATACAGAGAAAGTTCACAACACAAACAAATTTGGAGGAAAAAAAAAACAGAAAAGGAGATTTTTATAGAAAATTGCGCTCACCTGTCTGAAGATAGATTCATAGGTAGCCTGGTTGTTACCGGCAACCTGTCAGACAAAAAAGATGAAAATGAAAGCACTTTAGTTAATCAATTGTCATTGAGAGAAGTCCTGGGATTTTTAGTATTGATTACAGCCGAAATTAAATGGAATATTTCAATAAAGCCTACATGTAGGAAAACTAGCTACATTCTCAAATGTCATACGCAGAATTATTAAAACCCTAACTTCCTAGGGTGATTTATTAGGAACCTTCCTCATCCTTGCAAATCCCAACACCATATGGTAAACTGTGCACATAAACAGTTGGACTCTGTTTATTTGTGGTACTCCTACAAACCCTGGTGTTGGAGTTTGACTGGATGGGGATTGTTAGGGTTAAGTTACTGGTGCATCTAAGTAAGTCGTGGGGGGGGGGAGGGTCTTTTTCCTTATTGCATAAGGAATAGGGGGATTATCTTTAAACCAAAGCATAGGGCTTATTGAGTTTCTAGCTAATATTTTGCAGATACTGTAGCTCCAATTTGATCAAATCTTAAACTGCATGTATGTGTATGTTCGGTCAAAATGTTAAAGTTTGAAAGCAGGGCAGCATATAAAGTGAACTGTTTTTTTTCACCAACCTTAACCGTGCTCAATCCAACAGGATCCAACTATTTTACATTCCCGTTGGGTCCTGTTGTATTGAGCAGTAAATCCTTTGCATGTATTCCTGTTGAAATCTGTTGGATTCAGCAGGAAACTGAAAACATTCAGAGTGGGATTCTGTTGGGTACTGACCAACGCCAAGCCCAGAATTTAGGACATTTTGCTGTCGTAAATTTTCTTTTCTTTGGTGATGTGTTGTTGTGTCAGTACATGGCGGTAAGCCAATGAGCTAACTCTTCTCACAAATATTTTCAATAAACAAATATTTAAGTTCACAACTTGAACAGAAAACCCCCCAAACTGAACAGTGTCTTCCTGAAATGACATCACAGCAAAAGCGCTATCAGTTGTCCAGAAAATATGGAAAATTAAAAATGTTTAAAGATGTGCACTTTTCAATAAAATTAACCTAGAACTTAGAAGGGATGTCAAATATTTTCAGACATTTAAGAAGAGAAGAAAGTTGCAAAAAATATGTTCCCAAGAAAAAATTCACTTCATGGACCCTTTAAAAATTGATGGTATACATTAAAACAAAAATTAAACGATGTAAAGGCACTCTTAGAGGATATTATTTATACCTTTACAAAGCAGATTATGTAAACTATGTAAATTATTTTGTAATTGGTATTCATAGTATTATTAAAACAATGTTTTTTTGCAAGGTCAAATTCTAATAAATAAATAAATCCTCCGCTGCAGTACGAAATGACGGATTGCTTTTGTGCACACAAAACACAGCACTTTGAAGTGCAACCAACAAAATGTAAGGGTTTATAGCAAACATGGTTGTATTCGAAAGCATGAAGTTAACGGTAAATGAGTGTACATGTACATGTACATGTATACGGCCTATCAGTAAGCTGTTCAAACATGCATGCTAACATGCCCCACAACATTAATCTTACTGCTGACTCGACCCAATACGACTGATGAGACACCGCCACGTAATTCTCCTTCACATAGACCGTGCTGCCTTCTTGCCATGGCTGAGGCTCCGCCCACTGGGGCTCCGCCCACTGGGGCTCCGCCCACTGGGGGTACGGACAGTTGCACAGGTAATCAGACACCTGCATGGCTGGAAATCACTCAAGTCACAACTCTGAAGAAAACAGAACTTGACGGTTGGAAAAATGTCGTAAGTCTCCTTCCCGATATAAATCTTCTTCTTCCAACTGGCTTAGGATGTAGTTTTTAACAACCGATGCCAATACTGATATCTGTGGTAATTCAACAAGAGATCGTGGTGTTCAGCTTTAGACAAAGGTGCCCAACACCTTGTTGTTGTGGCAAAATGTTGAGAACAGAACTTGACGGTTGGACAAAATGTTGAAAGTCTCCTTCCCGATACAAGTCTTCTTACTTCTTCCAACTAGCTCAGTATGTAGTTTTTAAAACGATCGATGCCAATACTGAAATCTGTGGTAACTCAACAAAGATTGTGGCATTCAACTTTAGACACAGGTGCCCAACACCTTGTTGTTGTGGCAAAATGTTGAGAACAGAACTCGACGGTTGGACAAAATGGTGAAAGTCTCCTTCCCGATACAAGTCTTCTTACTTCCTCCAAGTAGCTCAGTATGAACATGTAGTTTCTAAAACGATCGATGCCAATACTGAAATCTGTGGTGTTCCACTTTAGACACAGGTGCCTAACACCTTCTTGTTGTGGCAAAATGTTGAAACTCTCCTGACGTGAAGAGATATTTTCACTGGTGACCGATATCAATGCAGAAATCCACGGAAAACCAGTGAAGTTTGTCGTGCTGAACTCTTTAGAAACTGGCTGATAACGTTTTGTTGCTTGGACGAAACATTGGAACTGTCCTTCACGAGTCACGACGAGAAACTCTCACTTTCTGCCTGTAACTCTTCTTCCCGACCGACGAGAAATTCACACTTTCTACAGGTGGCTTGCCGAGTGCCTGTGAGAAATTTCAATTCTGTGGTCCCAAACATTAGTCGCAGGTGTAGAACAAGCATGTCACAGCAATGGCACCGTTAAAATGACTGAATTTCATGCGTGGTACAGCGTGGCACGACATGAACGCATCCCCGAGAACTTTCTACAGCAGATTTCCTCGGGAGAAAAATACTGCGAGCTATATTTAGTAACAAGAATGCTGGCATGACCGCAAGGAAAAGGGAACTGGATTTCTTTCTTAAAGAGGTCAGGAAGTTGTGGTATCGGAGGCCTTCAGCCTAAGACCCTTGAGAGCCGCAAGCCGAGAGCCAAGATCCGAAACATTGAAGAAGAAAAAAAAAGGCGTACATGTACGTCATTCTTGTGAATATGACTAAGGATTAGGTATCGCTGGGCGAAGGCTGCACGTTTGAGACAGGCGCGGATGTAACAAGAATATACCATCAGCTGATAATCCTACGCTGCTACTATTTTTAATGGGGTTTGCGAAATATTGGCTTTGCCTCAGGTTCGGCTTTAAGAGATTTTTTAGGCCTTTTACTTGGGAGGGGGTAAGAGGTGGGGTGGGGGTGGGGGTGGGGTGGGGGTAGAGGTGGGGGTGAGGGCGAGTGGGGGGAGAGGTGGGGGTTGGGGTGGGGGCTAAAGGTGGGGGTGGGGGTGGCTGGCTCAATGTCACTCCATGTTCTGCTTCAGGATTATCCAATCCTATAAAATGAATCCAAAGTTAAAGGTAGAGTGGACAATTTGCAGCTATCCACAAAGTCACTGACCAAAATACTGTTAAAAAGCTTACTTGGTTTCAAGATACAATGTAGTAATGACACTAAACTCCCTTAAAATTATTCCTTCTGGCATGCTGTGATTTTGAAAACAGTAAAACAAGGTCATTTCCAAAGATGTGTCAAGTGACACATTTTTTTGAAATATTTGTTAATAGTTGTAATTGAGCAAATCCATGAATGGGTACGTTAAAGCGTTAACACGATGCACACGCGGTTGCTATTACTCGTCGGTTCAGTGCGTGACATCGCATTGCTGCAATTGGCTGAATGAGAACGTGTCCCGGATGCCGGTTTAGGGCGCAATGAAATATGTGACTCGGCAACTTTTGAATTGAAATCGAGATCCTAAAATATTGTTTTCTTGGAATATACAGCATTCACAGAGCTAAAGTTTCATAAGGTTCAGTTGTTAAGCACCCGTCTTTAGATTTTGAGCACTTTTGTTGCTTCAAATGAAAACATTACAAAATTACCAAATGGTCCACTCTGCCTCATTTTTTTCCACTTTGTTTTGTACAAAAGCTTCTAATGGATTCTGAAGCCAGATATCAAGCCAAAGCTGAGGCAAAGCCAAGATTTCAAAAAACATCTTCAGACATTGCCCAGTATCTTTGTCATTATTGCTGCCTTCCTCAACGTCTTCGATTGGTTTACTCAATAATTGAGGATTAATACATTGTGAAGTTCGTACGCCCAGCGTGGGATGCTATAAACGAGGATGTGGTCATTTATAGAAAGACTGCAGACGTCTGGTCGGGAGTTGACAAGGGAATGTAAACCAGCAGTCATGGCAGTTTGGATAATTATCGACTCACCCTTGACTTATTGCCATTCGTTCCCCACTGTCTAGAAGATCCAAATTTTAATTTTGGGTTTGTCGACAAAGTGCTGGAAATAATTAACACGGCAGTTGGCAGTGTTGTAGTCGAGTCACCAACGTCGAGTCCGAGTCCCGAGTCACAAGCCTCGAGTCTGAGTCCGAGTCTCGAGTCACAAGCCTCGAGTCTGAGTCTGAGTCTCGAGTCACAAGCCTCGAGTCTGAGTCTAAGCCTCGAGTCTGAGTCTGAGTCTCGAGTCACAAGCCTCGAGTCTGAGTCTGAGTCTCGAGTCACAAGCCTCGAGTCTGAGTCCGAGTCCCGAGTCACAAGCCTCGAGTCCGAGTCCCGAGTCACAAGCCTCAAATCTGAGTCTGAGTCTCGAGTCACAAGCCTCGAGTCCGAGTCACAAGTCACTTGTTCTTACTTGTTTACAAACTAATCAAATAGTTTTTAAAATTATTGTTACATCATCCATGCTGTCTTTTAAGTGACTCGAGTCCTGGACTCAAGTCATACAACACTGGCAGTTGGCAATGAAAATGATGATACTGTAACCCCTAACAGCCACGAAATCAAACCGAAAACATCAGAATGTTCATTACAGTTTGTACTGGACAGATTAAAAACACTGACTCAGAATGCATTGATTAACTGGGAGAGTAGTTGAGCTCAGTAACGAGTTTGTTCAATAAACAGAAGTGCCGGTTAATCAATGGAGTAAACTGTTTTATGTAACCCCAAGGCATTAGTTCCAAAAATACACACTGTACAATGTACATCTCTGCATTGCCCGTTTTAGAGTGGGTTAACTGTCAATGAAGAGTTTATATGCGATATATATCCGCCTTTGAAAAAAGCAGAAAATTTTGCACAGTTTTGAAACTTTAAAGAAAAACAGCATAACAGCTGTTTCTTAAATTAATTTTTCACTTTATTGTATTCTTAAATTGTCAAAACTGACCTTGGGCAGCCAAGAGAGGGCAGGATTCTAATAAAGAAATTGGCATTCATCGCGTTTTTGGAAATAACCTCTTGAAATACATGTATTTAAATTTATACAGGAAGCACTTATGATATTGAATTATGGAGTACGCAAAACCAATACAAGGACGTACATGTATAAATTTGCATTTTTTTTATTAGTATTCATATTTACATGAAACTTACATTGGCCTTAGGCTTTTGCTTAAAGGGGCACTGCGTCCTGAAATCCCCGTTTTGGGTTGTTTACTTATCCTATTCCAACCATCTGGTTGAAAGGAAACCAACCTAATGCCTTAGAAAAGACAAAAAATCCATGATTGTTTACATCGGACACGACGGAGGATGATATGTGTTTCCTATCATTTTCATACGATGTACGATACAAGTTGTGTGTGTCTGGTATCAGGCCGTGTCCGAAACAGGCTTCCAGAGCTACAGCTACGTCTATTGTCAGAGCGTCCCCGCGTATTTTCAATGGGCGCAGACCTAGACCTAGCCATAGACAGCTGATTCAGATGCAGCACGTACACAGCACACTGCTAACGAACAGCTGTGACCAATCACCAATGCACAAAATGTGATTTCTCACACATCTGCAAAAGGCGAACCCTTACGGCTGGAATCACAACTAGCATTCAAACAGCCCAACTTTTTGGGGCTGCAAAAGTGGACCCCGAAAGTCGTTTTCGCACGAATAACAAAAGAATACTACAAAAGCGCCCAGTTTTTGAAGGATAGATGTGTGGATATTAAGTTATATCCTACTTTTTAATGTTCTTTCCGATTAACATCATTTTGTTCAAAACGCGTTTTGTAGCCCCAATTGTGACCCGCTCCAGGAAAAGGTGATACAAGTCGCGCTGTGCCTTTACCTGTAACGGCCTGCTGAACGTTGAGAGGGTGAAATTTTCCGTCAAAATCCGAAATTCTGTTTTTGTCTTAAATGACATCTTTGATACCTAAAGTTTAAGGATTCATTCTCAGAAATGTTGATTTTGATGAATTAAGTGAAAAAAAAATCCTTATATTATGTGCATTGTTCTCTTAATTTTACAATGTACATCCAAAACTATAATTTTAATCACTATACAAATTAGCCAAAATCTGGTTTAAAAAAACTCCTTTTCCCAAAAATCTTTGAAAATAATCATTGTAGAATCACTATCCAAAGTTTAAAAGTGATAATAAAACAGGAACATGTTGGTTGCTAAGATATTAAAAGTGAGCTTTTCATGCCCAAATCTACAACAGTGCCAGCTACTTCAAAGCCTGTTTTCTCAGTTGTGTAATTTGAACTCCATGGAAGTAATTAATATGCAAATCTGTCATATCTCCACAACGAGAAGGGCTGTAGAGCTGTGTCATATACCAAATGAAAGCTTACATTGTGGGCTTTCCAGTTGTGTATATAAAATGAATTTTATTTTTACGACTTATATCACCTTTTCCTGGAGTGGGTCACAATTGGTGCGTTTTCCAGGATATTGTTCCCTTTAAACGGACTAGGCATTGTAATAAAGAAAAGGACCCCAATACTATTTCCTGGATGTAAATACACACAGGAAGTTCAAGTACACTGTGAATTGTTACCTCAACTTGCCAACTGCCTACTACTTGGACCCATTGACCCCTGCTCCACTGAACCACTTCATTTTGTGCTTACTGTGTACAGTACAATTATGCTAAACGTGGAAATTTATTGGGTGGACTGCCACATAAATATCAAGGGGCCAGTTTTAATGACACGCCTATAACAGGCCCAATTATATGGCACAGTTTAACAGTATTGGACTTACAAAAACAAATCAATCTGCATTTGTGAATCTTGCATTTAAACTTTAATTTGTAGCTGACCTTTTTGGTTCGAACTTGGTTGTTATTATATCAATGACTCTGACGCAAAATGCCATCTAATGAATAGTTAATGTGGTACCCGCTGCTCGGTGGTAAGACATCTGCACTAGGAAGCAGGAGGTCGTGGGTTCGAGTCCCACCCGAGTGATTTTTTTTCCAACTTTCACTCGGGAGGTAACACACTGAGTATACAGTGTTTATACGTCGCCGGTGAAGGGCAAAACCTAATTTGATTAACAATGACTCTGTTTTCTTATTTTATTTTGGGAATTTGGGGAGAGTGGGTGGGAAAGAAATTTGAAAATGTGGTGCCTGCAACTGGTTTCAACCATGTCAACTGAAAAAAAAGACAAAGTTCTGAGCTTTACAGTTTACTGAGATTTCTGTTATAATTTACTTACACACATGTATTATTTTTTCTTTGAATATAATTTGCATTTTTATACTCAATGTGGTGTCCAAAATGCCTGTAACTAAGATTTCTAAATGATATTCTGACATCCTTTCATGCCTTTTTGATGCCACCTTACAAAGAAACATGTAACTTATCCAAACCATGCCTGATGAACAATGAACAATGTGCTATCAAAGGAAGGAACACTGGTCATGCTTGTAGCTACCACGACATCACTACTTCCTGCTTGACATTGTTGGCACAATGGAAACTCAGTCTCAGGGCATTTTTTGATCAGGAATGAACTAAGAATGGAGCATTTGTCATAATTTGTGCATTTTGTTTTCGTTTGAAGCAACAAAAGTGCTCAAACTCTAAAAGCGGACCCGTGCTTAACAACTGACCTGATGAAGTTTCAGCTGTGTGAAAACACCATATTCTGGATCGCGATTTCGATACAAAAGTTGCCGAGTCCCATTTTGAATTGCGCCCTCTTGTGACACAATCCCACAATCAGCATTCGGGACATGATCATCATTCAGCTAATACGAAGTTTTACGTGATGTCACACACTGAACCGACAAATAATAGCAACTGCGCGCACGTGTGCGTTCTGTTAATGCATGCACCCAACTAAAATTTCCAAAAATGTGTAACTTGACACATCTCAGGAAATGACCTTCTTTTATTGTTTTTTTCTGTTTTTCAAAATGACAACATGCCAGAATGAACAATTTCACCGGGAGTTTAGTGTCATTCAAACCAATTAAGCTTTTAAAATAATTTTTGTCGGTCTTTTTTTTGGAAAAGCTGCGAATAGTCCACTCTACCTTTAAACAGAATCCTCTAAAATTATCAAGCAAGCTTGACCTTCTTACAATGGTTAAGTGGGGGGGGGGGGGGGGGGGGGGGGAGGGTGGACGAAATAGGGTGGGGGCCTAGGGAGGAAAATAGGGTAATCATGTAGTTTAGAACACTGTTACATTAAGTCTTTAAGTGAATGAAAAGGGAAAGATTTCCATATACGAAATTCACTAATTTCCTCGGTATTGACTAACACTAACAGTAACAAGCCCCCAGATAGCAATTTCATGTCATCAAAGTCAATTTGAGCAGTCACCTGGCAGTGGGAAAATACAAGCATTTTCTTACTCTTAGAAAACACTTTTTTTTCAGTCCAATCTCATAGAGTTTGTACACAGGGTGTTTGTATGATAAAAAAGGGGCGTCAGTTTGATGGAACATTCATTCCTGCCCATTAAAAGCACACCGCGCCGGCATTGGCACTGCCACTGCTAGACCAAGTCCTTTCAACATGTTCAATTCCTTGTGTACAAACTGCCGAGGACTGGCACTGTGGCAGTCCCGTTGACTACATAGTACATTAAAGTATGTCGCAAAGTCTACGTTTCATTATATTTGCAAAACAATGCATCATGTATTTAAGCGGCTATTAGTCAATGTAAATAAGACAAACAGGAAGCAAAGTATCAATGAGCGGACAGGAAAACCGTGTAAGGAAACACCCTTACCTGTGTTGCTGACGGTAGGGCAGCCATCTTGCACTGCACGTTCTCAGAAAATCGGGCCCGTCCCATTAATTGTGAAGAGCGCCCTCTTTTGATCATCATCAATCAAATAACTTTTGCACCTGTCGATGTCAGGTGTTGTTTTACAGGCTTACGCTCTCTAAATTTTTCTCATTGTAAGGGGAACAATGGAGTTTATTCAGTTTACGTTCGTGCTCGTGGCGGCTTTATGTGCCATATATTATAGCGGACAAGGGCCTGTTATTATGAGGTTTGTTAATGGTCCAAAATTCTAAAATTCTGAACTGATTTTTATTACTCTTTTAGTCAAATTAGTGTAAATGAATATATTTAATATAGAGAGCTTGCAAAGAGCGCCCTCACAGTGGACATATATTGTTACTTGATTCAGTGACAAATAACGAGGATCAGACCTGTCTACTGGTGTGAGGGCGCTCTGTACAATAGTGCAAGCTCCCTATGTATTATTGCATCTTCATTAATTGATTAATCCTTTCAATTTTCATGCAGAAATGCACTTGCGCGATCAGTCAATCCTGTAGGAAATCTCAGACTTCGGTCCCTTTTTCAAAATGATCCCCCTGAATTAGAAAGAAAAAGTTTTCAAAATTCAAGTGATGGTGGTGCGATCGACCTGGACCGATAGCACAGCGTGATCGACCACGCCCAATGTCCTTGCATACATCATCAGTCATTGTCAAAATTTTTGAACTTAATCATTATCATCATTATCACCATCGGCAATCCGGCACATCAAAATCAGCATCAAAATCACCATTATCACAATCACAGATGACCCCCCCCCCCTAACAAAATCCCCTTTTCATTTTACTCGACCGCATCCACTAATCCCCATAGCAACGCATCCTCTGTATCCTAGGAAACTGAACGAGCTTGTGACGGGCAAGAAGGGCTGTTCCCCGGTCGCCGACCTGGACTTCGTCACGCTTCACTACTTTGCCGGGCGTGGCCGGGGCGAGGCCATTCGCATGATGCTTGAGGAGGCGGGAATACCGTACAACGAGACGCTCTTCACCAAAGAGACCTGGCCCAAGGCGAAGAAGGAAGGCATCGAATCTGGGCTGTTCACCTTCGGCCAAGGTACAAGGGAAATATGTCCCATCATACAAAGCACTGTATCCTCAGCTTGATGGGACGTACATGTATTTTCAATGAAATGCTCCCAATGATTAGGACGAGATCACAAAGATGGCATCATCTGTGAAATTGTCTGTGTCTCTGCAAGAGCCAGGGGTGGGGAAGGTGGGTGGTTCCCACGCATGACTATTTTTGTTCTGATGTTCCACTACAACCTGTGGCGTTTTTCGCGAGAGCGTTGTGCACCATCCGCAATACATTCAAGATTCCCTCCAAGTGATCCCTTGCAATTTTCAAATCAAGATTTGGTTAAAACTGGCCTAGCTGTAACCTAGTCTGAGTATCACCATTTTGTTCAATGGAGCCCTCTCCGTATCCAACGTTCGATGTATCTGAGCAACGTAAATTAATTATTCGATCTCGCGTGTCAGCCAATTGGAGTTGACTTTAGAAATTGTGACGCCATTTCGATTAGAAATGTGGACTAAGCTGTTGGTTGGTCAATATGGGCCAAGTTCGCGCAAGGACTATAGTTGACCAATGGTTAACTAACGTTTGCCCGAACTCTGTCTAGTCGACGATGGTTGGCTACGCTAGTCAACTATTTGGAACCAGCCTACTGGGTTGGTTGCTTCGCTGGTAACCAATAGCCGTGCACATTCATAACGCTAGCAGAGAGCCAGGATCCAGAAGTTTTGCGATGACATTTTGACCAGCGTTTGACTAGAGACGTTCGCACGTTGCTACCAGTGCGCAGGCGTAAGGTACGTCACAAATCAACCACTAGTCGACTAATGGTCCTTGCACGAACTTGGCCTTGGATGGCAAGTTTTTGTAATACAGCAATGGGTAAGGAAGACGCGATATAAGGCGCCCACTGATTGGTCAGAATTTCAGGGTCAAGACGCAGTCCTGTTTGGCATAATTAACCAGTTCACGTCGGTTGACATGTGTACACGCAAAGATTTTGCGGTATTCGGAACGGATGACGGATAAACACGCAACAAACGAGGCTGGAAATATCTGTCTGCAACCCGCTCTCAGCAAGCGAGGCCGGAAATATCAGGGTGTGCTACCCGCAGATGACGGCCTGAACCCGTCTGGCATCGAGGTTCGTGAAAAACAACCCCGCGCCTGGGTCCAGTCAATGTCAAAATAATCCCAGCGCAAAGTGGTTAATCGCCGATTGCAAATGTTTAGTCCATAGACTAGCTGTTACCCTGTCCCCGTAACATATTTCAAAAACCATCTTCAAATTTTTCCCAGCAGTAGCCCTGGTGCGGGCACTGCCTCGTAATTTCTTAAAGTAAAGCCACATGGGAATAATTAGAAATGTAACCGCAGTGATGCGTCTCAAATTTAGGTGTAGGAGTTAGCCTACTATCACTTTCCCTCGAATGATTCACTCCCATCCACAATTCATTAGGCCTGTTAATTGGGTCCAGATCATGGGCCCTTCAAACACCTGTTGAAAAATATGGCTTAGAAATACAGGAAGGTCCAAGAAACACGGAATGGCATACTTCCACTACCTTGAGACTCAAACCACCTGTACCAATTGATGGAGAATCCTTTTAGAAGAATTATGATACCAGAATATCCCGAATCAGTCCAGTAGTTTTTGCTGCAGAGCCTATTTTGTGAAGGATAGTTCTTTCATGTGGGTATTATTAGATAACAATCCTTCTATCAATTACAGTGTAAGTCAAATTCCCAGGCACGATTTACTAATTCATCGGGACTAAAATGGCCCCACCTTGATTCACAAAATAGGCTCTAGAACAAAAACTACTGGACTGAATCGGGTGATCTTGGTTTCATTTTTCTTCTAAAAAGATTCTCCATGCATTGGTATATGTGGTTTGAGTCTCAGAGTAGTGGAAGTATGAGGTTCCGGGTTTTTTTTTTACCACAGTGTATAGACAGTCTTGAAAGTGGGCAGTCGCAGATGTGTAGTTTCCATATTATTTCCAGAAAAAAATATTGTGACCATAATTTCTCCAGATTTTCTCCGTAAATTACAGTACGTGGAAACTTTACGTCTTGGAATTCCAAACTTGTGTATGGTTTGTTAGGAACTAAGTAAGTGCGCATCTAAACGAGATATTAAAATACAAGATTGTTTATATATATTTCAAATCCAATAAAAAGCAAATTTGCAGGGTTTTTTTTCTACAAGTGGCTGTGGGGCCCAGGATACAGGTAGTCTAGTATCTGGACCTCATTTGTAGCCTACTAGTGATGCATCAGAGTGTTTTGAAGTACCAGCCGACCGCTGCACTCAATGGTTCTCATAAACTTTTCTCCCTTTTTGATTTGCTTTATATTCAGCTCCAGCCATTTCGACGCCATCTGGTCTGCACATGGTCCAGAGCCAAGCGATCGCTCACTACATCGGCCGAGCGACCGGGATGGAATGCGACTGCGAGCAGCTCAGCCACTGCGAGGTCGTCGCCCTGGGAACAGGTAAGGGGACTAGGGGGTTGATGAGTCTGTTTGTCTGGCTGTGTGTCTGTTTGTCTACCACTGATGGGGGGGGGGGTGGACACAATCAGTGCTGTTGTCAAATGGTTATGATGTTCGACCCATGTGCCGTGGTACGTGGGTTTGAACCCCAACGGGGAGCATTGTGGTTGTGTCCTTGGGCAAGACACTTTACTACAATTGCCTCTCTCCACCCAGGAGAATGAATGGGTACCTGTGAGGGTAGAGACCAGTTTGCGCTGATCTCGAAAAGTGGTGTCATGGCCTGATGAACAGGGATAGTAACTGCGAAGTGCTTTGGGACCTGCATTTGGTGGAAAGCACTACATAAGCACCACATGTTATTACCTGTTTTGGTGTGCACACCGAAACAGCTCTTATTATTATTATTTTATGGCTTCAAAGCACAAAAGTTCAGGCGGCAAGCTTTTGGGACCCTTGCACAGTCTGGTTAAGGACATTTTATACTGCGTTCCCTTTTACTGTCGGTAATTTTCGACAGAATTATTTCAAACCATAACAACCTCAAGTATTAAACACTCATGTTGGATTTTCATCTTGATATTCTTCAAAGTGAATCAAATTGTGGGAAAAACTACGTAGAGATGGGTAAGAATGACTTTCATTTGCAACCTTTCGCATCCATCTCCTTTCAAAGTGTTTTGATTTTGTCTACTTATTATGAGAACAAGAATGTTATGAAGATGTACCTACCTACAGCCAATGGGTTCTAGATTTAGCGGGGTTGGCCGGAGCAGATTATGGATTCAATCTTGACAAAACATGCTTCTAATTAAAAGGAGTATAAAATCCAATTACCTTGCAATAGTGACTTTTTCTTCAATGTTAAATTTTCCTGAAAATTTGTTACTTGAGAAGTATTTTTCGTAAATTATCATGTTCACAGAGGATTTCCGCAGCAAACTGAGTAAGATTATCTACGACCCGGACTTCTCAGTGCAGATGAGAGACGAGTATATAAAGACCACCGCCCCGATGTGGCTGGAGCATTTCGAGAGAATTGCTCCCAGTATTCAGGCCGAGGTAAAACCTTTTTGGATGACGAACAATCGTTTCTTGGCTGTCCATACTGTTATCTTTTTTGCTTTGTCATCTTTTTTGGTAAATGTTCAGGCTGTGCTTCTTGCTAAAACGAAACCAGTTGTGCAAATTTTACCCAACAGTTGTAATTTCTTATCAAAACCTGAACAAATTGCCAGTTTGCTGCTGTCGCCTACTTGGCGACAAACCTCATGTTCCTGATAAGTGGACACACGAGGGCAGTATGTTCTATTCCCAACAGAATTACTGAGACGATTTTTTTTTTTCACATCCAATTGGAACCAGGAGGAAATCAATTTTTTTTTATTGCGGTATGAATGTGGCATCCGTCTCAATATCATTTGACAGTGTATGGCGTTCATTAGAATGCATTGGTCATACCCGGAACACTCATCCGAGGAAATTCTCACCATTACCTGTCCGTAATTTCGTTAATGGCAATCATCTTTCCCTTTTTCATTCCTTTAATTGAATTAAACTAGGCTCAGCACCTTTTTCATTCCTTTAATTGAATTAAACTCGGCTCAGCACCGGTTTATCAAAAACATGTTTAGCAGTTCAAAAACTTAATTTTTCAGATGACTTTTTTGATTGAAATTTTGTGCAGCGAAGATGTAGATGTTAGTTATAGACCGTTTGCGTCAAGCAGCAATCTTGATGCATGTTTGTTCTTTAAAGGGAATAAACAACATTTTCAAACATCAAAAAATAATACTAGCGAATTATTATGAAATACCTTACTGGACTGTTAGTGAATGACAGTCTTAAGCGTCCTGTACAATCATGGCACCTGGTGTGCTGTCAAGAAAAGTGGTATTTTTTTTATCAATTTCCAACGCTGGTTGGCCGACCAACGTTGGACAAAACTGGCTTTTTCAAATACTGTCCCCAATTTACCATATTTAGTTAGTTTGTATTTTGTTTGCAATCAATTACACACCTATGAACGGGTGCAAGCCAGCTAGACTGGTTTCCCAACCTTACAATTGCTGACGTCCATAAATTGCTCTATTTGATCATAAGTGGGGTCAGGTCACCAGACTACCGTACAAGAACATGATTGTTTTTCTTGATTTTTCCAGCATCTTCAAGCACAAAACTTCAAACAAGTCAGTGTAACAATATATTCTATAAAATACTAACCCCTCCAATCCGTCCATTTCTGAAAATTACAGCAAAAGAAATTGTAGATTCCCTTTCAATTCAGTGATAATGCATGCACAAGTGGTATCTCCTCATGCGTATTGCTGCAAAACAGAAGCATGTACCTCAGAGATGGCGGCAGTACAAAGAATCTGTTGGGTTTTCTTCCAACGGTGTGATTTTGTAAGCTCTGAATCCGAGCACATGGTCAATGTTCACAAGTCCCCCTGCTATGTAGAAACCATTGTGCATGCTATTGTGCAAAGCACAATAGCATAGCATGATGGATTATCTGTACAATAGATAGAACAATGCTTTAGGCCATTGAAGGGGGCCTTCGTGATAGAAATTGTAGCGCGCTTGGATTGATGTATCTAGTTGTTGCTGTCTACGAGCACAAGGGTACAACCTGATCACCATTTTAGAATTGTCAGAATAAATCTTCTTTATCTGATCATCCTACGTTTGTAGCTCAAGTAAAAAGTAAAGTCTGTCACAAGCCAGTGTGGCCCATCAGGCCGGCATTTATCTCCGGTTTCAGTGGCATGAAACAACTGAGAATATTTCTACTCCCCCTGGATGGGATGCCAGTCCATCGCGGGTTCCTTCCCAGCTAATGCCGGTACCCATTTATACTCCTGGGTGGAGAGAGGCAAGTGGGGGTGAAGTGGCTTGCCCAATCCAGCAGCTGGATTCGAATTCCCGACCCTCTGATCATGAGTCACGAACCCTAACCACTAGGCCAACCACTAGGCCAACCACTAGGCCACACTCAACAAACACAAATCTCTACTTTGATATGAAGTTTGCTTTCCCCTTCTTTGCAGGCGCCTGTCGTCTAGGGACAAAATAGGACTCACATGTGATCCCTCAACTTGGCAGATAAGAGTGGATTTTTTTTCCCCACATCAAATCAAAACCAGGACTGACCAATTATCCATACAGGGACTGAACTTTGGTATGGGTGTCATGACCACATGCCCTGTATGGGGTTTATTAGTCATAATATCTCGCACTCTGAACACTATTAACCCAAGGAAGCCCCTGTCACGGCTTGGCCGTAATTTCAATAATGTCAATCATCTTTTTTTTCCTGTCCAATTTTTTTTGATCAGGACGTGGCATATTTTGGCGGGAGCCACATCACCTGGGTCGATTTCCTCGTCTTGGACGTGCTGGACGCGAACGTGGAGTTTGCCCAGGTGGATATGGGGCGCCCTCTCGTGGCCATCCTGGACAAGTACCCCAAGCTGCAGTCGTTCTATAATCAATTCCGTGTCCGGCCGAAGATCGTAGCGTATTTGAACAGCGACCGGCGCATGCCATACAAACTGCCCAAAATGCCGGCGGTACATAAACAAGAATCTGCCTAGATGTTGCAGCATAAAAGATTTACTACAAAAATAATTTGAAAGAATAAGAACATTTATCATTGTTTTTTTCCCTACTTTGTGCATGTTTTATTCATGTGGTCTGTGATTTTATTTAAACCAGTTTGAAAGGGTGTTACTTTTGAAGTACTTTTTTTCCACTTTGCTGGAACAGCAGATTTGCAATATAATAAGTGCCTTTTTGTGTATTAAGCTAACAATTTATTCTTAAACAAAAGTTTGGACTACTGATCAAGGTTGAACCATTAGCACCTGTTCTACTTTGCATTACATTGTGTTTATTCACTGACGAACCCATCAGACCATAGAGTGCTTGGGCAGTTTTGGGCGCTACAGGCAGGGCTGGATTAAGTGTTCCGTAGGCCCTAGGCATGAGTTCCATAGACCCTACTCCGCCCAAGGCACCAGTACCAATTTCGTAGCGCTGGTGAGCGCTTGTTGGCACTGAAGCCTCGCATTTTATGTTGCTGCCAAGTTTTCCTCAACCGAAAATTCATAGAGAAACGCTAAAACTTATGGCACACTGTGGTGTTTTTGTAGGCCCTCAAATTTTGTGCAGGCCCTAGGCACAGTGCCTACTGTTCCTATTAAATAATCTGGGCCTGACTACAGGGAGTAATAGGCAGTGCGGTTTGGGCGGTACAGTGACTAAGGCTTAAATGGTCAAATGAAAGTTGATAGTTTTCAAATGAAGTAAAACATCTTTTCATTATGTCAGTCCGTTAGTAATAAACATTGACATTGTCTATTAAAAGGTAAAGGGTAAAGGGGGACGAACCTGTATTCACAGGAACGGAGTGCCCATCTCTCCTTCGAAGCGATTGGGCCAGACTCATATGCTGCTGTGGGGGGATCGCCACACCTCCTCCACAGCGAGTCTGTTACCTTCCCAGCACTGAATAATGCCGGTACCCATTTAACACCTGCGTTGAGAGGAGTAATTGAGGTAAAGCGCCTTACTCAAGGGCACAACACACATGGCCACGGCGGGGCTCGAACCCACAACCTCTTGATCACGAATCCTGTGCTCCACCGCTAGACCACACGTGCCCACTGTCTATTGCTCCTACATATTTTGCCAGATTTCAACAGTAACCCAGCCCCATAATGTCACATGACCGAACTGGGGTCAGAGGTCATCATGGGATCTTTTTTAAACTCGAAACACTACGCTTTCCAGAAATGACACAATCACGTGCCTCATGCATTTACATTGGTTATGGTCAGTGTCAGCCAACCAACAATTAGTGTGAACACAAATTTGTCGGCCTGCAGCTTCCGAGATATTTCCGATCGAGCTTGTTTTCGTATTCAGTTCTGAAGTAAATGGAAAACAGGCTTTGTTTTTGCCCCCAAGTTCTGCTTCTCAAGATGAATAGAATGTTCCGTTTTCTTTGGTAATTGTTTAACAGAACCATTACTTTTCAATAATAACTTTGCAATCAGTACTTAAATTTTTCCAATTAAAAAGAAAAATTTGTCTGTTTATATTTCAATGTATTCATTGTGGTTTTAGGTATATTGTCTGTATAAATTGTCTTTCATATCAATATTATTTGAATATGGCAGTAATGACACAGTGTAGTTTCAGGATTTCTGATTTTATGTAAACTATTTTTGGTAGAGTGCCTTAAGAAGGTGTGCTTTTTCATCAAATCTAAGAGCAACACTATGAAAATAATTTGAAGATCTGGACAAATAAAATGTCAAAATAAAAAAAGGATATTGAATATCTTATCATTTGTATGCTTATTCTGTTTTGCTTTGTTATTTAGTTTACATAAATGAGAACGGGTATAAACACATTTTGGCACAGAAATAACACCACACTCGCACCGTTTACTTGATCCAAATAATTTATTATAAAATTGGAAAATTTCTCAATTTTCTCAATCACTTTGTCTTTTACTTTATGTTCACTTATACACTCTCTCCTAACAATGTTCATAGTCATTTTTTTTTTAACCAATAATTTTTTAATTTTTTTATTATTTTTTTAAATTTATTTTTTGTTTCTTTTGAACCATACATTGGAATAGTTGAAAAAAGATCGACCGACGACGGAACATTAAACCGGCCTTTTCAACTTTTTTTTATGCCCTGAGCTGGATGGCTCTATAAACACGTGAGACGTTTTTAAAAACACTTGACAGTTCTTGACCACCTACAAACGACTACTATAAATTTACTAGAAAAAATTCATTCTGTTTTTAAAAGTTACAAGTATTATAAACACAGAGTTCTACATAAAAACAGGCCTGCTCACGCGGGGCCTGCATAATACATGATATACAGTACAATCGGTAAAATACAGTACGGAACATTATCAAGAGGTCTCCAATAATGTCATCTTCATTTATAAATTATACTGCGACGCTAAAAAGCAAACCTCCAGTGCTAGGTCAAAGGTCAGGGAGATGGTAACTGCATTATAGAAGTCATAAGTCAAAAGGTTTAACTGGTAACCCTGGTTAAAAATCTACTAAGAGCCAAGTTAAAATTGAGTAAAAAATCTAGTTAAAAATTGTCTGGGGCCCTGAAGCCATGTGCAGGATCATTGTAGACCCAGCCCTCGCAATTCAGGGGTGCCAGTCTATTGTGGTGAGTTGTTACTTGTTCTGAGCTTCAAAGTGTTCAATTCAAGAAAGCACGAAAGCTTCAAACAGTTCAGTTTTAAGAAAACATCAGAACAGGCTTGAAATTTATGCCAGAATCTGCCAGTTTTTGGAGGAAAATCTACAAGTGACAGAATGGTGCCAGAAAATGCATAGGGCACATTACCATCTCACTGACCCTCACAACTTTTACGTTATAAAGTTTCCACTAGCACTGGAGTTGCCGAACGACAAACAAACGAACAAGGCAGGCTAGTTCACCTGAGAATTGAAACACACAAAGAAAAAAAATATATATAAAAAGAAGCGACAGTGGTTGAGGGAAAATATTAACCGTCCACACACAAAATACTGGTTTACAAATAAATGCCATGCCTACAAAAAAAATTACAGCATACCAGCCATGTCACGAGATCGACCAAATTTGAATTCTTGAGGAAAAGTAAAAGACAACGAAAAAATAAAACGGGTGGTTAACGTGAAACGATACTCGTCCTACAAAAGGAGGGCTTTTTTGTAAATGTCCTTCATAAATAAATAACCATTCTGTTTATATATATACACGTCCACAGGGACCAACAAACAAACCAACATCTACACATGGCACAAAATCATGCAGGATAATAACCCCAAGTTTCAACTCTGCACACTTTTTTTTTTCGTCGCGCTCCACTCTCGTTTTTGTGTGTCCTGCTCCAATAAAGTATAAATAACTCAATAAAACTGCTTAAAAAAAAAATGTGGCCTTTTGTCGGCCAAACCAACAAAACAACTTAAAATGTTTTTGACGGTTGCTAAAAAATAATGCTACATTGCACCTATGCCTATTAATATTCATATTGTTATTTTTTTTTTTCATTTCATTTTTTTTGATATTTTGTTCTCTATTCTACAACATCTAGAGACTTGCTTCACTTGGTTCTTTTGTTTAATTCCATAATCGTTTCTAATTTCATCTACGTAAACCTTACAGCACCATTTGTGGCAGTTGGTTTCTGTCCTGGCAGGCAACAACTGGTTTCAAAACAGTTTGGACACTTTCGATCAAGTCCATCAATATCTCTCCCAAAAACCCCCAACAAATCCTCTGCATAAACTTTCATTCAATCCTTTCACTATTTTCTATTCTTTTAATTTATGCAGCGACACATTCTCATTAATATGCAGCACCGAATGTCTCCTCCCCTTTTTTTTTCTCTCACCACCTTGGGGTCAAAGGTTAAACATTCTATTTTCTTGGTTACCATGTTGGTAGTTATGTAAATATATGCAAAAATGGGTGTGGTTATATCATACTAATGCTCTTTCTTTCGGAACATGATACTTGATTAATGCAGAAGTACCTGCTGCTAACTCATAAATATTCATTAGGTATTATAATATAATAACGTCACATTTTACACAATGCTTTGTTTAGGAAAAATGGAGTACATTTCGTCATGCAACATGGTTACGTCCATGGGTGTAAAATCATATGAGGTAGATACACAATTTTGTACAAAAAAAAACAACAGACAAAGGAAAAAGATTCTTCAAAATTAATCGCTGAAATTTCATTCTGCGCGAAGTCCATGCCCTTAACACTATAGACCATTAACCTGTTCGCAGTATGTGTGAGATTGGCTTGAGCCAACTTTTTTTGTAAAGGTACCTGCGATGGATCATAAGTACATCACAAGTCCAGTCACAAGTCCGATCACAGATAACAAGTGATGAACAATTACAAAATAAGTGCCTTTGTCATCACTGTTGAATAGCGTGTGAGTTGACATGAGACTGGATGACTTATGATTGCCTTGTGATTGCCTTGTGATGACTTGTGATTGACTTGGGATGTCTTGTGATTGCCTTGTGATTGACTTGTGATTGACTTGGGATGTCTTGTGATGACTTGTGATGCCTTGTGATTGACTTGTGATGTCTTGTGATTGCCATGTGATGCCTTGTGATTGACTTGGGATGTCTTGTGATTGCCTTGTGATGCCTTGTGATTGACTTGGGATGTCTTGTGATGACTTGTGATGTCTTGTGATGCCTTGTGATTGACTTGTGATGACTTGTGATGCCTTGGGATGTCTTGTGATTGACTTGTGATGCCTTGTGATGACTTGTAATCCATCACAAGTAACTCTACATTGTTCTTCAACCCTGGCTAAAACTTCTGTCCCTTCCCCTAATCCACCCAATATAATTCCTACGCTTCAATCAGTCATTAATGACTCTTAATACACTCAAAGACAGGTGCAACCCACCCCCCCCCCCCCCCCCCACATACCCACACGAACCCAGTGTAACCCTGACCTACAAAAAGTCATTGGGTGGGTTGTAACATCGTCAGTCGTCGCTGGCAGTATGCCTAGGAGCACCTGCGGTGCGACATAACGGCAAGCTTTGTTGCTTAATTCGTGCCTCCTGTGCGGAGTCTGGTGTGTCAGTGCGGACCTCGTTGAGTGAGGTCCGGTGCCCGAGTGGGTCAGGCAAAAAAGATGTGGAAACCAGACTGATTTCCTGACGTATTAAAGGTAGAATTTGCTTTTCGTACATTTTTTGGTTGTTTGAAGCAACAACATTGCTCAAAAATTCTGAGAAGGGTGCATAACATTTAACTTGATTAAGTTTCAGCTCACTGGCTAGAACATCAATATCAATATTCACTCTACCCAAGAACTACAAGGGAATGGAACCTGCTACCACCCAACATTCGCTCTGCTCCCAATGTCAAAGCTTTCAAAGAGGGAATTGAGCACCTAGATCTCCTCAGCTTAGTTAACAAGGCCCACTTTAAAATTTAGTTCACTGCGCCAACCATTCCGACCCGTGCGAGATAACCACTTAAGAGGTGTTTGCACAGTATACAACCAGAACCAGAACCAGAACATGTATGCATTTTGAGAAAATGAATGCACAATTTTTGGGGTCTCGTAAACTGGAATCCGACGCTAACGCATGTGTAAAAAATAATAAATGAGCCCGCAGGTACACTTTCTTAAACCACCTTCACATGATTGCTTTCTTCCGAATAATTTCAGGGGGTATTTGGTGCTAGTCCTATCATCAATTTGAGCAAGGATTTTCTCTTTATAATTCGGTAGGTCTGTTTCCGGGTAATTGCAAATGTTCCTACAAGCCTTTAATGACGACTCAGTTGATGATGAATAACGCACGAAATACGTGACGTGAAATAGAGTGCCTTATGTTCAAGGTACCAACAAAAAAAAAAAAACGTGGCCAATTTCATGGAGAAAATATAGGTTAGCTGGTAACCAGTCCCAAGCACTATACTCAATTGACTTTCTGGCTGGTAACCTGTAATTGTTGCTAAACAAAGTTTTGTCTGACTTCTTCTCAACTGTTTTTTAAATGCACACATCTAATAAATAATATTTTATGTTCAGTGTTTTAACCACATGTTTTTCAAGTAATCGGGAATTGAATGGGGCAGTTATTGGCCACACAAATCTTAAAAGCAAAAGAAGCAATGAATATCCTTCGTTTTTAGAAAGCTAAACGTGGTCAAGCGAAACCATAGAGCTGGCACTTTTTTTCCCCTTTTTTTTTTTTTGCTGTTCATGAACACCGTGCCACAGACTTGCAATCCTGCATACATACAGTTAACAACTGCAAAAAAAAAGAAAAGAGAAACCACTAAAATTGTTTCCATCGGGTTAAAGCGACATGAATGTATGCAACATGGTGATAACTTCTTGCTCATTTGTTTTTGACTCCTGCCGAAAGTAAGCCATTTCCAACCTGCTGTTTTGCCTGTAGAGTGAGCCGAGATCGAGGGGCTGGTACCCTAACTCGGTGCCATCTACTTCCCACCGTATCATGAGCAAGGCACCTGTCCAAGCGCACCGGTTATCAAAGCAACGTGACAGGGCACCGGCGTAAACGGTTCCCACTGCGGGTAATCAGGGGTAAGTCGAGCCGGAAACCCGTACAACATTGGCGGCGGAAGCTGCAAGGGATATCGGATAATTTTATCTTAGTGGGAGCGCAGGAAAAAGCTATCACATGAAAGCGGGCCGTGAACTGTGAGGCAATTGTTGTTCTGCCTGGCGTTGTGGAGTCGCCGAACGACCCAGGGGAGTTTGAGTAAATAACTCAAGAGACGACATATGTTATGAATCATAGACTACCCCCGAAGCTGTTTGCCAAATAAAAAATGTAACCCCAAAAAAGTCACCTTTGTGAATCAGATAACATTGCATGTAGTGTCTCTCTTTATACTGATCATGAAGTTGTCTGAACACAGAGCTTGATTGTTTTCGACAAGAAGCAAAAAGTTTTTCAAATGTCACAGTCAATGCTTTTCATGTTTTTCTAGCCCGAGGACAATGCTTTGTGTTTCCCATTGTCCCTGTAATATAACACTCTCCTATAGACATAAGCACATAACCGTACGATCGAGGACCTTTTCCAACAAAAGACCCGATGCTCAAGAACTGAAAGGATCTTTTGTTCTCCCTTTGTGTGTCTGTCCTTTGTCGTAAAGCCATACATGAACACTCACACTACAGGATCTTAGATGTACGAGTTTTGGCATTAAAATCAAACTGTTTAAGTTGGAAGTAGCTCTAAACTAGGACAACTTTTCTGCTTTTTTTTTTTTTAAATAATACTGTTACGGTAGTTTTTGTCTGCGGTGTGTGGACAACATGGAAATGTGTATTCCTTGTGAAGAAATTCAGATCCTAGCCCCCCAAAAAGACGAGAAAATACACGAATAGCATTGCACAGTGTTTCCACGCATGCATCAAGTCAGCGAGTGTAAACCGGTTCAAACCGGACGTGGTTGAACCAGAACTAACTGGATCAGACTGGTATGAACCAGAATGGACCGGGTACAGTTGTGGTAGTGAGTTGACACAAATATTCAAATACCCTTGGGAAAAAAAAAACATGTTGCACTGTGACCCAAATTTTCTCCTATCTTACAAAATTTAAAAAACAATAGTTATCAGTGATAACTACAAATATCTATATCGAGACAGGCTTAATAATCAACCCCAACTCGCCAGGATATTTTTCCTAGTGACAGATTCTCCCAAATCCTCCACTATTCTTTAACCTTTCAAGCGTTACAAAGCATCATGGAAAGTGATAGTGGCTGGGCTCAACATGTACCTCCCTCCATCCTACAAAATCCTCCAAAATCTTTCTTGGAGGAATTTCGAAGGATCTAGGAGGGTCAGGGTTATTAACGGAGATTGCAGATACTTTATCATCTGCCCCTTGTCATCCGAACCGCTCCCGCACCAGGTGCATGAGTTTCTTCTTGCCCCGATACATGACTTTGAGATCCTCTATGAGTTTCGCAAAGCGTATGTGGCCGTCGGGGGCCAGTAGAAATGTCTCTCGGGCTTTGCTGAGGAACTCGATGAAGTCGCCGTAGTGGCGGGGGCTGATGTGCGTGAGTCTGGAGTGGGCGGTGTTGACGTAGGCCGCGATGGCCGCGTCCAGGAGTTGCCGCATCGGGTCCTTGTCGTACGGCAAGAGCTTGATGCATCGCCGCTTGCCGTCGGGAAGGCAGCCCATGCCGGGTGCTGTTAAGGTACACCTGTGAGTGGACAGAAAAAAAGGGTGGAAAGGTCACGACGAGTCACGGAGCTATTTTTAAGTTTTTCCGTAACTTCAACACTTCTCAGGTGTTGATCAAGATATTTATAGCACGCAGGTGATCTCAGCTGGCTGCGGTTAAAGTGAGACGAGGTTTTACCTGTGTAAGACATCTGCTAGGACGGACGCACATTGCACGCTCTTTACCACCAGGGGGATCATATTGCTGAGTTGGTCTCGGCCCAGTGAGTGACTCAGCGCACAGGCCCAGTACACGTCGTTAATGGCAGGGTGCGTGTCCTGGTTGTAGCCCAACGTTAAGTTCCGCATGGCCAGCACGGCCAGGTTGTAGGCGTGGCTGGCGTAGCCGCGGTGCTCCATGTACCGCGCGATTGTGAAGAGCTGGGATGAGTTCATGGGCCCGGAGGCCGCGTCGACCACGATCTGATAGGCCGCCTTGAAGGCAATGTGGTCCTTCTCGCAGAGCGTCAGCGCGCAGAGCGCGCACGACGGTGGGTCCTTTGAAGCACACTGTAAGGCCACGCTGCGAGCGTAGTGGGCCAGTTCCTCCTGCTGGGTCAGATTCAGGTTCAACCGCACCGCGGTGTTGGGCGACATGACCGTCGTGGCCACCATCGTGGTGGCTTCCGTGGGGGAGAAGAGCGAATACCACGACTGCATGATGGTGACCAGCGCGCTGACGCCGATCTCCGTCGCGCAGGTCACCATCCAGCGCACCATCTCCCGGCGCCGCCAGTTCATGTTGGAGAGCGTCATGCGCATGATGTGCAGGCCCAGGTCAAAGGTCGCCTTGAGGAGGGTGTAGTGGGTGGGGCCGTCCACGGGCGTGGCCACTTTGAAGGCTTCCTGGGCGAGCTTGAAGAGCTGGGAGGCACTGTGGATGTGATGCTGGGCGGCCTCCAAGACTGTCCGTAAGCGACATACATCATCTGACATTAGAAAGAAAGAGACAAAAATGACTCAATCTGGTACACACATTCCTGTATTTCTATACGCTCGAGGACAATGGTTTGTATTTCCCTTTGTCCCTGTAATATAACACTCTTCCATAGACTAAGCACATAACCCTACGATCAAGGACCCTTCTCAACAAAAGACCCAATGCTCGAGAACTGAAAGGATCCTTTGTTCTCCCTTTGTGTGTCTATCCTCGATCCTAAAGCCATACAAAAGCAATTAGACTCACCACAAAACTTCAAAATGTAGAAATTCTAAGGAAAAAGAACATGTTTCAACAAAACACGGGAATCTACTTGACCAAATGCATGAACTTAAAAACACCCTTCTTTCACACACAATATGTGCACACACCAGATCTGATACACCGTGCCCTCTGGAGACATGCACACAATAGGAAACAAAAGACAGGGCAATTTCTACAGATGAACATGTCTCCACAAGGTTTTCACGAAATAGATATATGGATTTTACTCAAAAACTAGGAATTTCCAAGGTATGTTGATCGTCGCAAATGGTAGAGTTTTAGAAAAGGGATATTAGGTCCGAATTTCAGCCAAGGAAATTTATTGTGGTTGAAATAAGAGCATTTTGAAACTGTATTTTCAAACTCCAAAACTTTAGTACACGAGAACAAAGAAATGTGTCCACAAGGATACAAATTTCAGTATATAAGTTTGCATACGTATATGGCACAAAAGCACAACCAATTTTTATCTGAATATGCCAAAAATACTGGTGTCTTCACGTCAGCACCATGCATACGGCAATGGCATTGTTCTAGTGTCTGTCAGACCGCTCTGTGTCACCGTTGAGGGCGTGCTTTACCTTTTGCAGCAGTCATCATGCAGCTGGCGAGCTCACACTGTTGCGACTCAATGTGGCCCAGCACAAACCACCGCGGGTAGCGGCCCATCAACACACTGTTTGCAGCACTGCTCGGGTTGCTTGATACCTCCTCTAAAATCGGCAGTCTGTGAGAAAAAAAAAATCAGTCAAATTCCACAAATGAAACTTTATCTCGTTACAATGAAGCCGATTTATTGGCTTAGAATTGCACCACCAAGGAATGATAATGCAACATCATACATTGTTTAAATTTCGTCTAATTAAGGTAATTAATTATGCACACAATGAGTTAACAGTGGCAAAAGCTTCCGTGAACATTTAGCATAGAACCATCTTTGTCTAGTACCAAGAAGCAAGGTGCAAAATACTAAGTGTTTTCGTGGGACAGGGATCTCGCCCCAGCTTTGATTATCATCATGAGCTGTTATATGGCTCAATATGTTGAAGTCAACTTCTGGTTTGGAAGTGACTAAGAATATGTCTAGTCCTTGGGAATGAGTTGCAAATCATGGTAAACTCCCTTGCTTGAGGACACAACACATTACCAGCAACTTCCAAATCAATAATCAGACACTTCCAAAATTGCCAGGACCTAGCTTACATATAGATGTCTTCTCTGTTTTATAGTGGGGTAAGGTTGCTTGTTACATGTGACTTGTTCTTCGTTCCTACCAGTTATTTTTGTGACTGACAAAATGGTTAGGTTGAGGTCAAAGTTGAGCAGACATCTGCTAGTCTTACCTCATAGCTCTTAGCCCTACTTTGTACGCCAGATCCTCATCATAAGGCAGCAGGGTCTGGAACAAGTAGCGGCCGAAGGTGTGCATGGGAACACTCTCAGGCGGGACGTGGTAGCCAAGACCGCTGGACAGGCCTCCTGGGAAAAAAAAGTAAAAAGAATGTTGAGTGTTGACACGAAATTATTGTTTTGAAAGGTTTTCTTTGCAAGAAGGTTTATTGTTTCCGACTAGGGCTCCCTAGTCTTTGCTTCATAAGCTTTGCCTCATTGGGGGACTGTCAACATTATAAGGATGGATAGTTCAGTTAGTTGAGCACTGGAATTGCATTCTGGAGGCTACAGTTTCGAATCCTGGACCAGTCAATTGTATGTTCAACCTAGTTTTGTTTGACAATTGGAAGGAGTCAGTAGTCAGAGTGGTGGTCAAGTTTGTCATTAGTCAAATCACAAGTCAATCACAGGTTCATCACAAGCCCATCACAAGTTAATCACAAGCCCATCACAAGTTCATCACAAGCCTATCACAAGTTCATCACTAGTCAAACCACACATCAATTGTGAATAACAGGGAATAAAACAACAACAGGGGCATGGTTGTCACAGGTTACTTGAGTAGCTTGTAACCTGACTTGAGACTGAATGCCTTGTGACTAACATGACTGACTTGTGACTGACATCTGACTGACTTGTGACTGACATCTGACTAACTTCTGACCAATTTGTGACTGACTTATGATGGACTTATGACTGACATGTGAGTGACGTATGATTGACATGTGACTGACATATGATTGACATGTGACTGACGTATGATTGACATGTGACTCACGAATGACGACTTGAAACTGACTTGTGTTTGAACTATGACTGACTTGTGACTGACTTGTAACTGACTTGTGACTGATCTCTGACTGACTTATGACCAACTTATGACTGTCTTGTGACCAACTTATGACCGACTTCTGACTGACTTAGGACTGACTTGTGACTGACATGTGACCAAGTTATGACTGACGTTTATTGACTTGTGAATGATTTGTGATTGACATGTGATTGACTCATAAAGGACTTGTGAAGACACAACATCATCTCTGAAGCGAGTGGAGCCCTCCGCCCTATACCCCGGTTCTAGGTCTCTTTACCCAACTAAGACTACAAATCTATTTGACGGAGTCTACCTTCCATGAGCGTCGTGGCCTGCCTCTGCAGCACAGCCACCAGCATGGGATCCATGGCAATCTCTCGGTGTCTCGCAATCAGTTCCTCCTCGGCGTGGCAGGCCTTGTCCTGGGCGTACAGCCCCATGGGCATGACCCGTTGCTGGCCGAGGCCGATCAGGACCACCTCGTAGGCTAACGTCAGGTAGGTCTCTTGCTGGTTGCGGGAAACGGGGATGGCCACGTGGCGGTACTGGCGCAGCGAGGAGCTGCTGCCTGGGATGTCGGCATTGCTTGATTCTAAGACACAAAACAAACAAACAACCCAGTAAACAAAAACCAATACATGTCCATAATGAGAACTTGGCTTGGGCAATCCTGCACTGGAATCCAGCAGGTCGTATGCATGCATTCAATGTTTCTTTGAACAATCGGGTGACAGTATTCACACCCAAAACTTTTGCGCACTTCGACTTCAAGAAACGCTTGAGATTGGTTCCAATTCATCAATGGCCTTCAATTTTGTTTCGCTTGACGAGTCTATATTGCAAACCGTGATTCCACTTTTGTTTAGGCATGAACTTGCAGTGGTAGACCATTCTAGAATCTTAGAGCCATTTAAGCGTCAGACAAAAAATAACCGAAATCACCGTCGAAACTTCAAATTTATCATTGAGCAAAATCCAGCCGCAACTTATTTGTAAAGTTCTCTTTCAGATATTGCACTTTGAAGAATGTACGTGTGTCTCTAAGTTGACATCAGATGACAGCTGATAACGTCATGTTTCACGTCAACTACACGCCAGAACTTGTTAAGTTTGGTTGGTCAAAATGTCCACAATATTAAGAGGAAGAACATTATTTGTGAAGATACTCAACTTTTAGTTCATGACAAAGTTTGGGACCCCTCTCCCTTTCAAAAAAATCCCTGAAGCTTCAGATGAGTTTAAGGGTATGCACGACCGTTTTCCCACAGTAAATTTAAATGCGAGATTTGACCTCAGTGAGGTTAAGTTGAGCATTTCTCTATAGCACTGATGACGTCATACGCATGGATAATCTTATTAATAGCACCTCCCTCAGCAAGTCAGGCACATCATGAACGGTCTCGCAATTGCTGGAAACAGCAAAGTGGCTCATACTAATCTATCCTCACGCTAAAACCACCTTCCCCTTCCCCCCTCCCCCCCCCCCCCCCAACCCCAGTAAAAAAAAAAAACACCACAGAAATCACAGATGGACACGCCATGCAGCTCGGATCAAGCCAGATTATCTATCAGGTTGATTCATCAGCGATTCACCATGGATCACTGATCACTAACATCCTGGGTCGTGATTATTAAAACCCAGTCCCGAGATCGCTCGGACCTCACCGCTACATCCCTGCTCTCTCTCACCCCCTTCCTTTTCCTCTTTTAAGATCTTTCTTTCTCTTTCACTGTGAGTCACTAAACCAGAGGGTAACCCAAGATTCTTAATAAGAGAATTTCTGGGGTTGCAAGGTTGACGTTGTAATGAATCCCAGATCAGACTGCAAAATCTTTGACTTCCTTTTCTTTTCTTTTAATATCCAGTCCTGGTATTGCCAAGAACAGCAAAAACGCTTCACTATTTATAGAATGCTCAAGAATGGGACAGCTTCTGAAAGATTTCAGCTTCTGAAAGATTAAATTATGGAATGACCTGCCCCAACGCATCACTGACTCTTTGACGCACAAGACCTTTAGGGACAACTATTATAAACCACATCGTGACCGAGACCTAGATACCGACACCTCCCCGTGACCTCCTAGTCAAGATCACTGGAGGATGTTTCAGGAGAAAACTAACCAAGTACCCAGTAACAAGTATTTCAAGCACAGTGTAAAGACTGGAATTTTCTGCGTACGAGGCTTAGCAGTTAGTCAATGTCAAGGAGTAGCTGCATGTGAGCACGCATATTCGCTTAGCACGGAAGCATTTTCCAAAGCAAGAATAGGTTACCAGCCAGAAATGACGTGGTATACATGCGTTGAGACTGGTCTCCGTTCATTTCTGCTTAGCACTAACATTTTTGGTTAGGCAGCTTCATGAAATCAGGCCCTGGTCTCCAGGGTAATAGCCCTTTATCATGCTGCCACCATTTCAGTCATATTTCCTGTATCCAGTAACAGTACTGAATGATAATATATTTTGTGCAAAAAGGAACCAGACTATTTTTCCTTCCAGCCTAGCTTTGGTTACGTTGATTTGAACGGGAAAAAAATCAAGGTGGCTGCAACACGATAATGGTCTATGAATAAGACTCCCGAGTCCCAAGAGTTTTCCCTAAACCATGGCCTTGTCTCCAGGTTTGACTTCAGGCGATTTTAGTCCCCTGACGCAGAGGGATGTGGCTCAATATGAGTGCATGTTCAAATACTTATACGATGCCAAAATTGGGAACAGTTATAAGGACGGTTCATACTCGGCACGAAAGCGAACGCGACTGCGAATTTGTGACATCAAATGAAATGAACACATTTCAACTCGGGCGAGTTTCACAGCGAATGCTTCCTGGCGTCAAATTCGCATCACAATCGCATGAGGTATGAACCGGCTTTTAGTCAGTTTGGATATAAAGGGTTCTTAACGATTTTGCAGCCAGACATGAAGCCACGCCTGCAGACAAAGCCAGGTTTTCCAAAACTCCCAAAAGACTGATCACAGTCAAGAAACAGCAACCATGACAGGAAGGCTTATTGGTCAGGTGGGGGGAGCTAGGTACTGGGGAGGGGGGGGGGAGAGGTGGAGGAGGGTGGGAGGAAGGGGGCGGGGTTAAGGTCGCGAGTGTTTCTAATTACCTGCGCTGGAGGTACTGCTGTCCACGGTCAAGGACGCGTCCAGGAGCGTATCCATCAAGCAGCCAATCGGATCCAGGGGATGTCCGACCCAGGCCTCCGCAGGACTGCTCCGGGCGTTGTGCGATGACTCGTTGGAGGCTGCGGCACTCTGGGATGCCTTCCGATGCTTGCCCTTTCTCCCCGCTGAAAGAAAATACCGAGAAAATTAAAGCATTTTATACTAAAGTTCTCAAAGCACTTCACAGGCTACGAGACATTTTTTTTTTGACAGGAGCTTGAGATCAGTGCAGTCTGGTTTCTACCCGTTTATACTCCTGGGTAGACAGAGGCAATTGTAGTAAAGTGTCTTGCCCAAGAACACAAGCACTATGTTTGTTTGTCCAGGTTCGAACCCACATACGAACCCACATACCGTGCCACACGAGTCAAACGACGTAACCATCGGACCACATCTGTGGCGGACACAATATTGGGTAAACACAAGAGAGATTCCCCAGCCCAAAAAGCGCCCTCTTTTTTTATGTCCACTTCATCCTATAAATTGTGAATGGAGTGATTTGGAGGACGCTAATTTGCTTATTCGGTGAGCAGCTTGCATTCCTTGGGAGTATGTGGCTGCCCAACCCCATAGAAATATCCATTTCATTTGCCTTTCTCTTCAAGCCAATATTGAAGTGGAGACTAATCATAATAACGTGTGTCGCTTAATACACAGAGCGCTCTCCACCAAGCTATGTCTCGAACAGCTTCACAGTTATTACCCTGTTCATCAGGCCATGAGATCACTTTTCTGCGGCCGAGATCAGCGCAATCTGGTCCCCATCCTCACATGTACTCATTTACAATCCTGGGTGGAGAGATGCAATTGTAGTAAAGTGTCCTGCCCAAGGACAAAAGCACCATGTTCCCCGTTAGGGTTTTGAACCCATGTACCATGGCATATGGGTCGAACACCACAACCACTTGACCACGGCGCCCAACAATAACCACTGGACCACGGCGCCCAACAATAGACTAAACTGTTACTATTCTCCTTTAATTTTTGCCATTAGCTTTTTGCGATAAACCACTAAATATGTGCAATATTAGCACCGGACTTTGCGGTTAGCCTTTGAAACCTCACCCCAAACAAACTCACAGAGTCCCAAATCTGGTGACTGTTACAACAATTTGATTTGTCTTTCCCTTTTCTTCTTGGCACGGCTAAAGCTCAAACCGAGCCGGTTTGGTACAATGCCACAAACCAACCGACTGCAGACTTCAAAGCCTTATACTGATGGATGGATCAATCAATTGATTGATTACATATCTGCATTGACATTGTCAATGGCTTCGCGGGTGGAGTATCCTTTCCAGTAATCAGAGGTTTCGGTGAAGGAAAACTCGCCGAGGGAATTTGAGTGAGACTGTGCAGAGAGAAAGTCTGTCTCATTGCTTCTCCCCAATGGTTTACATGTATATTCAAAACCTTTTCACCCAATTTTTTTTTGGGCCTTAGGCCTGTCTCTGTAGGTGTTGAAGTAAAACGCCGAAGGTGAACGGAGTCCGCCCATGCAAAGCAAGGGTCTGTTGATAATAATGTCGGGCTTGAAGCCTCTGGGGTTTCGTTAAGGCTCCTATATTTTATTTCTGGTGTCTGCGTCCCACCCGTGTCCGGGGAATTTTCTGGCAGAAAAAATAAAAACACCCTTCTCCTACCGAGTTTTTCCACGATATGTGTGAAACAACCATTGAAGAGGACTGCATCATTCAGGAGATCACCCCTGCGGGCTGATTTTCATTCTTGGAAAGAGTGTGAAGAAAAGAAGAAGGGACGGTGGTTCGTGCTTCTGTTTCCCTTTCAGGACTCTTGCCACGATTTTTAAAATGTCGTCGGACTCGTTCATAACATTCTGCGTGTAACACATTCGACTTGTCACTCCAGTCGGCTCCAATTTGTGTCCAGGAAACAGCCAATGTAAAACTAGTCAGGTTTAATTTGATGACTGGCTAATAACAGCAAGGCCGCTCCTTGGGTTATTACCTCCCCCCTACCCCCAAGATCGCCGGGATTTTTTTGAGCAAGGCCTTGAGAAAAGCTTCTCCAGACCTTGGCATTTTTTTGCTTTGCATACTGAGTATACTCACAACGGGTCGGGTTGTGTTTTTTCTCTGATTGCCTTTGTGTATTATCTCGTCAAGGCCCAATGACGGAGCAAAAATGTAGTTTCCTTTTCTGGTTACATTCACCTCCGTCTGCCCCCCCCCCCCCAACCCAAGTCTGTGTCACCTCCCAACTTCCAACATCTAAAGACTATAAACAGTCCGTTTCCTCTCTCCGTTTCCAGGATGCTGACAGGAGTTGCCCCCCTCGAGTCACAAGGCATGAGCAGAAACATTAACCCACCCCAAACAGCCTAACATAGCCACGATTGTTAGACACCTGTGTTTCCTTAATACACAACAAAGGCACGCAAAGTTTCACCGACATACAGGGGTTCCATGAATCCCTGTATTTTGCCAGCCTGCCATATGTGGGTCATTCTATAAATTTGTGGTCCACTTTTTTTCCTGTCCCTGTTACATCTGACATCTACCGGTATGACTTTATAATTCTGATTCCACCTTAATGCAGTCGTCATCCATGATAGGCTATGACTAGTAAACTACCTTCTCAACAAATAACACAATTTTGAAGTCATTCTTAATGATACTTGAATGGCAAATTCCAAAGTACCAAGGTAACTGGGACAGGACAAAATGTCACAGTCTGGACCCTGAATTTGCACAAATATAACCTGTAGAGTAGAGTAGACATTCAGGCAATTAGCTTTGCTAGCTCAAATTATTGTAAAACAGCAAATCTAAAATCAGAAGATGATATAAGTTTATATCATATTTTGTAAGCGCCTAAGAACCAGTCAAGTATTTTCATCATGGCAGGCCTTAGCTTTCTTCCAATTCCAAACAATCTGTAAAAAACGAGCACATTCCCTCTCCCAAAGAAAATTCAAGTTGTGAAACACGGGCCACTGAAACTGAGAAAAGTAACAGCAGAACTCAGGATGCCAGAGAATTGACATAACCCTCAGCTGCGGCAACAGAAAAAAAATGATTCAGATCAGTGGGGCTTACTTCCACAAGCCTCCAAGGTCTCTTCACAATTTTTTTTTTTTTTAGCGAAGGGTTTCACAAACCACAGACGTCTGAGGTTAACTCCCAAGTAAAGACTTCATTCTCGCAGCTTCCTTCCACTTTCACCACACGCCCTAAAAAAACCCGTAAGGATGCACCGTGCATCATGCCAGTAGACGCAGATTAGCAGCCAGCACCCTTAAGGCTAAACCAGTGCCCAATGAGCTCGAACGTAGCCACCTGGCAAATCCCAGACTCGGTGGGCTCGGCTGCCGAGATAAATCCCGGGGTATAACACACCCCCTCCCCTGGTTCGCAGCTTGATACATCCTTCTCGTAATCCCTACACCTCCCCACACCCCTTTTTGGGGAGAACTTGAGAGGCTTAGTTCAATCATTTCCTTGTGTTCAAGTCTGATATGTGTTGTCTCGGCAGGTGCCTGATGAGCACACCAGAAGTTCCAACCCAACGGAAATCATTATTTCTTCCCAGACAAAAAAACAGAAAGGAAAGTCCAAATCCAAACTGACGTTATAGTGACATGTCATTGTTTGTCATAGCGGCTTTTGTGTTTTTTTTCATTTTTCATGTGAGTTATGTATGTAGATCTATCCGACCCGCCAAGTTGGCTAATTAGAGGCGATGCCTGAAAAATGCAGTCTCATGCACAGGGGTCTAATTTACGCATCAGGGATAATTAACACTAATTAGAGGCGATGACAGGGCAAGGGAAGGAACCAGACTCCCTGCCAGGAACCAGTCTATTGGGATGACAAAACTAGAGAAGGGGGGGGAGTGCTGCCTGCAGTCTGTCTAACTGGGCCTGGAAGGCAACGACTAATGACAACTAGGGAAGGAACTCGGCCAAATTGAGTCTGAAAAACTGACAATCCAATAACCACACAGGAGAGCCTGTTTTATAACACCAGTAAGTGGTAGGTATTTTCTTGTGAGTCACTATAAACCACATGATGGTGAATTGACCAGTTAGAATTCAGCTCTTGGTCATCAATATGTATGCAGTTGGCTGCCACATGATGGTGAATTGACCAGTTAGAATTTGGCTCTAGCCTCTCGGTCATGAATATCAATTAGGTCAACGACCACATGACAGTGAATCGACCAGTTAGAATTCAGGTCCTGCTCGTGAATATGTATGCAGTTGGCTGCCACATAATGATGAATTGACCAGTTAGAATGCAGCTCTTGGTCATGAATATGTAGGCCGTTGGCTGCCACATGACGGTGAATTGACCAGTTAGAATGCAGCCCTTGGTCATGAATATTCACGAGGTATGTTGCAGGATGGTACTTACATGGTCTGAGTTGTTTAAGGCTGTCTCTTTGCTGCTTCTTCAAGTTCCTGACGATGCTTACGGCTAACCTCAAGGCATCTTTGGGGTAGCCGTGCGATCGTAAGGCGTCTACTCTGGCACACGCTGTGGGTGGATGCTCTGACAAAACAAAACAAAAACAAAAACAACAAATGAGACCGAAATCAAATCAACTTTGGATGAGCAACATATTTCTGTATCTTGGCCTGGCATCTCTGCACCAGTATCAAACAGACTTATTTTCAAAACTGCAAAAAAAATTATCATGACTCAATATTTCAAAAATTAACTCTCGACTGTCATCAATTTTACTTTCAAAAACATTGATTCCAGGCAGCACCCAAAAAATAGACTGTTCCTGTTTCGCAAAAGGCACCACCAACATTGCTTGTGAACATTTCTCACAGAGTTTGACCGCGCTATCATGGTCACCTGACCAAACGCAGTGACTTATTGGTCAATGCACACTTTTTTGATCGACAGACAGAAAGGGTCCCATTCAGAAGACAGGCCAGCTCCAACTTGAAAATTCAGTCCAGACAAGGGTTATTCTGGAAGAGAAGAGTACCTGGACCCTCACACAGAAAACAAATCTATTGCTTTGTTGAAAACTGCTACCTCGGACTGAATTTTTAAAAGGCACATTATCAGAAGGAGAACGTCTCCTTTAAGCAGTACGTCTCCTGAAGATCTCTTCTAGTTGAACTTCGTGCACAAGTACCCCCTCAACGGAAAGAAATGGAGCGTTGGGGGAGACCACTGGGAGAGACATTCGAACAAACTGCGGACGATGCCCGATGTGCGTAGAAGACCCTATGGCTTTGTGCACATTCAGAATAAACTTATTCGTGCGTACTTCGCGCGTATGTCAACTCTGACCATCGTCATGACTCCTCAAAAGAATAAAGGATTCAAAAATAATCAAGTTATCTCAACCATTGTTTATAACTTGTCACAATTAATTATTAATAAATTTTGGTTTTTTTTTTTTTTTTCATTATTTTTTTTTTCCAAAATAAAACAAGCTTCTTGCAAGGCTTGCTGGACGCACGAAGGAGAACAGTGTTCCTCCTCAAGGGACACTTAAACGAAAGAAGGAAATGTCAGTTTGAGGAAGAAGCAGTCAAAACAAACCCTAGAGAATACATTCTAGACGGTCGGAAATCCTGGGCATGCACGCAGTTACTGGAAATAAGGAGGAAAAAAAAACCCAACCAATTCATGACAGAAAACTCCTTGTGGGAGATTTGAAATCTGGGTACCGGAAACATGAAAAGGGAAGATGTAAATGTATATATAACTTTTGACCTTTGACCCAGGGTCACATGAATGCGTAAAGTATTCAGTCTTGTTCCCAGACCAAAATATTCTGACTATTCCGGCAAATCTTTAGTCAGGTAGCCGTCATTTTCAAAAATCGAACATGACACTGCAAAGCCGCCCCCTTCGTATGACTGACATTTGAGGCGCAAGGTCTCATTTGTAGATGTATAGTTGAGATACTGGATAATGCGCCTGGCGTGGACATTTTGTGATGCACGCAATGAATTTATGAACTCAGAATTTTCAAAACTGATAACAAGCATGACGGGGTATTTTTTAGTTTTTTTTTAAAAGAACTATTTTACGCTTGAAAAAAATATAATTGGCAAATTATATTCGAGTACCTACGGAATGTATTCGGTAAACTTCAAGACATTTTCTGGAAACGGGCAGGATCTGGGTCAGTTTCCGACACATTTATTTTAAGCCGCCGCGGCTTCTTGACCAAAGTTTTATCAGAGTAGTCACAATCTTTTTTTGGTCTGGAAACCAGACTATAAAACCTTGCACATTTGTGACACAATTTGTGCATAATGCAAACTCCGGGGGCTTGGATGACAAAAAAAAGAAAAGAACAAAAAGCGCCGAGCTTGAAAGTGTGAATGTGGCGTGCATGATATTTTGGCTTAATGATGCATGACATTGGGTAAAGGGAAGGGGGGGGGCCTTGCATCATTCATCCATGCATTTCATACACATTAATGTGCTGAGAATGTACGGCTATTTCAAGCGTGCATTTCTAATGCACTGGATGTGCATTCCATTATAATACTGGTACTGGTATATTCCAAAAATATTGTAGGCCTGCTGTATCCTAACAGGATATTACATAACACAAAATGTTGCTCCGTTTGTTTGTTTCAATTCAATGTTTTCTGAGAATCCAGCAGTTTTTTCTTCATCATTTTGCACAAAATTCCACCTTCCATCTGTAGTTAAAACCTCAACAAGAGTGAGTCTGATGCTATACATATTTTGAATTCAATCTCAATTTAGAAATGAAAGGAGTAAAAAGTGAATCCATATAAATCATGTGAATTTGTTTGTTGTTGGGGGGGGGTTGTGGGTGGGGGTTAGTGATTTATGGTAAATTTCAGACAAAGGAATTTGTTTTAAGAAAGAACAAGTAAACTGAACATTTTGTTTCAATTTACAAATATGAAGTTGAAAACGGAAGCTTTTAATGTTTGCCTGTCCGTCTGTATAGTTTTCAATTTGGATACATGCACGTGGTGCGCTTGGTTTCAGACTTCAGCACTGATCAACAAAATATTATTAAAGCTGAACTCTGTGTCTAAAAAAAGGGTCAGTTTACATGGACACGTCGGGATGTATTAATTTATCCCAGGAGTTAAAAGGAAGAAGGGGACGGCAATCTTTTCTTGACTTGAGATATTCCGAGCCGAACACCGTTGGGTACAGTAGTGAGTCATTTATTTATACTTCCAAGTTTTACATCAACAACCGCTGCCTGCAGCAGGCTGTATGAAAAAACCCGTAATTCACTTGAGTGATATCGCACAAAAAGGGAGAAAAAAGAAAGAAGTGGAGCCGGCCGGGGTCTATAGTCTGATCCCGTTTACTGGTCCAGTAAGCAGCAGTAGGGCATCGGGCTGAATTTCAGATAAACCCGGGCCCCCTGTGAAACTCCGGGTTTTTTTTTTTTGCTGGGGAGCTGAACCATTCGTGGGGCACACTCACACAGCGTGCACAGGGGGGAAAATAATGCTTTAGCCCCTTAGGAGATACGACCCTTCCCAGTGTGGGTTAGGATTTGCATGGCATTACGCACACATGGATTAATGGGGGAAAAGGGACAGTTGGCTATCGAATACGGACGGTCGGTCGGACGGGCTTGAGAAACTGCGCGCGGATGACCTACCCTTAAAAACCTGATCCTAATCTGGGAATTTTTGTGACTAATGAAATTGTATAAGTAATGCGTTTTCATTAATCTCATTGTGATTGTACGTGTATCTCTTATCGCAAACAAAAACAATTCCATATGTGGTTGGAACCCATGAAAGGATATGAGTCTTGTAAGAATTTTTTGTTTACTTTGACCATTTTTCCCCACTTAGTTTTCTCATGCATTCGAATGAAAAAAAACCTCTGCATTCAATTTTGATGTAACACTCACTTTGCTATTACACAGATGTAACATGCATGGGTAACTCTATAAATTTAGGGGTCCAAAGTGTGACATTTTTCCTGTCCTTGTCACCTTTGAATTTTGTATATTGGCCACTTAAGTGACTTTAAAAATGACTCCAAACAATTTTTTTAAAATTTATTGGATAGGAAGTTTGTTTTTCATAATCACTCTTAGGTGGAAAAGGCATTAAGGTATACATCCAGAATTTATAAAATCGTACATGTCAGATGTAACAGGGACAGAAGAAAAAAATGGACCCCAAATTTTTAGAATGACCTGGCCCTGGGCCAATTTCATAGAGCTGCTTCAGCACAAAATGTGCTTCAGCAAAAAAAAACTGTGCTTAATATAATCAGGTCACCCACCAAAACTCCATGTGATTGTTATGCTAAGTAAACAACAGCTAAATACCAGTCACAAGCAATGTACATTGCAATGCGTTTTGGCCAGTACCCTGATTATATTAAGCAAGGTTTTTTCGTGCTTAAGCAAATTTTGTGCTTATAAGCAGGGGCCAATTTCATAGAGCTGCTTAAGCACAAAATTTGCTTAAGCACGAAAACGTCTTGCTTAATAAAATCAGGTTACCGGCTAAAACTCCATGCGATTGTTATGCTAAGTAAACAATAGCTAAATACCAGTCACAAGCAATGTACATCACATGGAGTTTTGGCCGGTAACCTAATTTTACTAAGCAATGTTTTTTCGTGCTTAAGCACATTTTCTGCTTAAGCAGCTCTATGAAATTGGGCCCAGCTCAAAGAGACCGGCCCCTGTATGTGGGTGAAAATTTTGATAGTTTCTGTACATTTCCATTGTGGTTGATTTGTAAACAGGCCTTCGACTCAATGTGTAAATGTAGCTCTCGCAACTTCAGGAATACAGCACATACATGCGCTTGTTTTGCCATGTGTTTTTCTGAGGGGAAAAAAACAGCTATTGAATCAAATTCTCTTCTATTAAGACAAAACTAATGCGGGGAAACTTGAAAGTCTCGCTGTGGCAAAAACAAGAGAAGCTGAAAGCGCTACCGCCAAGGCAGCTTTGAGTCAATTACACCCATAAAAGAAACCGGCGGACGGTAGGGGGAAACCACTTTTCATATTTGTGCCTGCGAGTGATAAACGCTGGCCACGGTGCACTGTACTAACACGCTATGTGGAATATCTGTGTATATATTCCATGACCGCGGAGGCGAGTCGGAGCAACAAGCCTCCAGGCAGGGAAAAATGGAAAAAGAGAAACGAAAAGCCGAGGAAACAGCTACCAAATGCAATGCATATTGGGTAAACTGGCTTATCAGCGGGCGCCAGTTAATTCATCCAACGGTGTGTGTGTAGGGCAGGCAGGCACTGCGTCATGCGGTGTGTAGGCTGGGCCCTATGGGCCTGCCAGGTTTTTTTTTTTTTTATGGAGGCCCCACTGTGGATTCGGTAGAATAGTGCACTGAACCGCCTCGCTTAGGTTCATGTGCACCTTGCTGACAGCGCAACGCACCCAAACAAGGCCGGGTCTGGACTCGACTGTACAGTCTTCCCACACAGAAAAAAAAAATCAGCGCTGACAAGTTAACTCCAAGGAAAACAACGGATGCAAAATGCGATAGCTTTGCTAAATCGCTGTGTCTAGAATTCCATCTTGGACTTATTCTTGTAGTTAAAAAAAAAACAGGGTTGGCATGGTGTTATGACCAGCGATTGAAAATATTTCTCAGAAACTTTGTTATCCCATAAGTTAATTTTTTTTTTAAATTCAAGGTATGAGTTAATGAGTAACATTCTTCTTTGTCAAAAACTAAATTAATATCCATATTCCGTTACAATGCCAGATGCCATACTGACCTGAAGCATGTGGGACTATTTAGGTTTGCAAATGAGCAGATTTTATGCAGAGAAAACAGCCAGCACATGTTGATTTTAGATATATAAGGGCAATCCACGGAAAGCGGACATGGCTGAAAAATGGAAAATCTATGAAATCTTCAGAACAACAAGCCTCACAACCTCACATGTGGTATCGAATGAAAGGGGGCAATGAGACCTTTCATTTGAGTGGGGCGCCAGTGAGATAGAAAGTGGTTAAATGTATTTTTCTTTTGGTTAAAACAACTGTTTTGGGGCTAAAATTATAGATTTTGGGTAGTCTTTTTGGAATCTTGTTTTCACATGCAAAATGCGAGTGTTACTTTGAGTTTTGGTTTTTAAGGCAGAGAGTAAGTATTTTACAACAAATGACACACAGAACATCATGATTAGGCCTTAGTATGTTTTTATCACGTAGGTGGATTTGATTTCAGACACGTAACGTCTGTAACTTTTTAATGTCACGTTCGTAACAACAAAAGCCATGATGTATCTATAAGTTCCTTTTTGTAAAATGTCACTGATGTTTTTATATAAAGAAGCTATATCTACTACAACATAGTTATCTCATTAAATTCCTGCAAGTAAATTCTTGCCTTCTGAAAACAACAAATCTATGTCTTAAAGTGTAACGTCGACTTCCGTAACATTAGTTAGCACAGCTTGTATCTCATCAATGAATTTAGCCAACACTACATTAACAATGTCATGTTGTAGTACATCAAGGCCTTGCAAGCTAGAGTTGAGCCAAATATATACAAATTTGCTTTTACTGCAAGTGTTTTATTTTGTTGTTTCAAAGTGGTTTTTAGCTCGGAATGTTTTGTCCGTAACGGGATTGCCCACGATCCAAAACAAATATAATGTTTGTACACGCAAGTGGAGAAAACGACGAACTTGTACATTTTAATACATGAACATAACACTTAACAGCTAGATTCCAATAAACATTTTGAAATCACTGTTCAGCAAAAGAAAGAGAAAATAAAAACCCAAGATTTTGGAAATGAACATGCTTTAGATCAGTGTGGCATCTGGCATTGTTATGGAATAGCGATATATATTTTGTAAAATAGAAAATGAAACCCTTTAAATTCAGAGGAAAAACGAATGTAAGCAACATGTTTTCTGGACTGGTTGACAATAATGTTTTAGAGTCAAAACTAATTAGCTGTGTTTTGTTTCAATCAATATATCAATCGCAAAGCACAATATGCAACCACGACACAACAATAAAATGTTAATGCCCACCAGTGCACGGACGAGCATGCCTAAAAACACAACCAGGGGCCGTACGGCTTTTCTTGCCTTTCGTGAGTACAAACCACCAATTACAAGAGTGAATGAACTGATGCGAAACTTCCGCACGGATGTATCATCAAAGTTAAATGCCCCGTTTTTTTTTAAAACTGTACCAATTAAGACGCAGCTGTAACAGCAGACCAACCAGAAAAATCGGACGGCAGCATCTGTCGGAGTGTGCGGTGATGGGTCCGTGGCCAGACCGGTCCGACTCTGACCACTGCAATTAACTAATGAGCACCGTGCGTGGATGGTTTTTATCCCCCAAAATAAAAAGGGGGGAAAAAAAAAATAGGGTCTGTGAGATGTCCCAACGTGTGGCAGTTTATTAATCACATTGTGGTCCGGGGTCAGGTTACGTCCTGCGCTATAAATTACTCCGAGAATCGGAGCCCCTACAATAATAACCTATCTGCTGACAAACGGATGGTGGGACTATCAACTGTGACAAAAAGTGTCGTGTTTCAGATTCATTAGAATCTGGATTCCAGACTAAATGTAAATGCACAGTGTAGGTTAGCATTTTTGGGGTCCATTTTGTTTTAAGACAATTAGGATTGTTGGTCATAGACATCTCCGAGCATGTACATGTAAAAAACTGTGTTTAATTCACGAGGCCCCCTTCAATGGAGTAACCATGGTGCAGGCTATTGTACATGAAGCAACTGCCCCGTGACAGATTATCTGAACAATAGCTAGCACAATGCTGTGGCCATTGAAGGGGGCCTTCGTGATAAACTTGATAGGAACTGGAGCTGAAGAAAGAAAGGAAAACGTTCTCGATATTCTTAATAATATCATATTACTTGTCAAAGTAAAATAAGAAGAAAGCTGATAGTTTGGTAGTCATTCATGGCACATAATTGGTGCCCCCCCCCCCAAAAAAAAACCACGAACCCTAAAAGCAGCTTCTTTTCCCACAGCTTTTATAAAAATACATTGCAAATATCGATATTTGGAGAACATAGTTCGTTTATAGCTTTTCAACTACAACAAAAAATCTTTCCAATCGGGTAAATATGTATTGAGTTACGGCCAATTCAAACAAGTGCCGATTATTTGCAAAGACATGTTTGAAAGGTATGGTTGCCACAATAGTTGAGCAGTATTTGATTTTGGTAAATACACACAAGAGGTTAACTTAACCAGTTCAGGGCCAACATTATTTTGACAAAGACCGGACCCAGGCGCGGGATTGTTTTTTCACGAACCTAGATGCCAGACGGGTTCAGGCCGTCATCTGCGGGTAGCACACCCTGATATTTCCAGCCTCGCTCCCTGCGAGCGGGTTGCAGACAGGTATTTCTGGCCTCGCTCGTTCCGTGTTTATCCGTCATCCATTCCACATACCACAAAATCTTTGCGTCTATTCACGTCATCCGATGTGAACTGCTTCACAAAATACCATAATGGTCCACACACAAAAAATTTCAAATTTGTCTTGTTGAACAAAACAAAAAATTGAAGGACGGAGTAAGATCAACTCACCAGACCAGAGAGGATGACCCTCCCTGTCAAAGCCGCCAAACTCCGTGTCGGCGTGGTGTATACTGTGGTAGAGTTTATTGTTGAGGATTCCCTGCAGATGACTGTCGATCCACTGGAGGTCGCAGGCTTCAATGGCTCGGGTGAAGATGGTACGAGGTCTGTCTGCATCGGCGACGGCTATATAAAAAAATTGTCAAAATTGCTGACACTGTGATTTAGGGTGTGATCCCTGGCTACATGGCATATATACGGGCTTACGGCTTCTGACCAGCGCCCCTTGAACAAAGACATTGATAAAACGGGGAACCGCCAACATAGGGCTGGATAGCTCAGTTGGTAGAGCCCCGGAACGGAATCTGGAGGTCGCAGGTTTAAACCCCGCTCCAGTCAATTTCTTTGTTCAATTAAAAATTAAAAAATAAAGGTATTAGGCCAAAAAAAAAATAAGTCGGTCTCTGGTCAGCGCGCACGTCGATTTTAATCATCCGCGTCGATCTTTTTTTTCCCCAAAATGTTCCGCGGTAGCTCCAACAGCGCCCTCTATTTCCGCACCTCCTCAATTTTTTTTTACCAAAGAGCACCAAGGAATGGGAAATTGCACCAAGGCAAATGATCGAAAGCACCAAGGCATATTATGGAGGACACCAATGTACATGAGGACACCAAAAAAGCAAAATAGTACCCACCTTGTCTGTACAATCCAAGCTTGAAAAAAAAAAAAAAAAAGCCGCGTGGCCACATTGATTCCGGAACTTTGGTCTGACCAGAGACCGAATATTTTGTTTTTTTGGCCTTATGTTCATTAAGATTTGTATTCTTTTTCTGAGGAAATTCTGCTAAAAAGTTCTGAGTTTTTATCCTTACCTGGGGGACGATTTAAAACACCCACAAGCGACGGGTTCGTCAAGTTGTTCCTCGCGTCCGCATCTTCCAGGGGGCAAAGGTCGTTGGACCCCCAATGGAGCAGCTGTTCCTTCCATGTCATCTTCTCCCTCTGGCAGTAGCCGGGATTCATAACCACAACCATCCAGAGCAAACCTGCGATCAGAGGGAGGGAGTACAGACAAGGAAAGCATTTTAACATTGTTTGTGTGTGTGTGAGGGGAACAGGACTTATTAAGAAGCAGGAAATTTGGTTTTTGTTTTAAGGGTTGGGGGAAATGGGGGTCGGGTGGGGCCTGGCGTGGCTCAAATTGGTTCCATAGGCTAAGGAGGACCCATAATCACACTGCTATACATTGTTGTGTAGGGGTGGGCTTAATTAGGTTCCTAGACATTGGTTAACTGCCAAAGTAAACTTAAATTTCAGCCGCCTCGCCAAAATTTGATCCAGAACATTGTCCGTGGGAGGACAAAGGAGACTTCAAACTTTGGTCAAGCAGGGGTGAAATTGAGGGGAAAAGAAAAATCCATGAAATAATCGGAAGAGGGTTTGAGGGTCAACTAGGGCCCCAGAGCAATGTAGGGTCTATGGTACCTGCTCGTACTTGTCTTGACCCTAACCCCCAAGTAGTTCCTCAGGACTACCCTGATAAATCCAACAGAGTCCAACCGGAGTGTCCTGCTCAATCCACTGTGCCTTGTTTTCAGTTGTCTGCTGAATCCAACAGAGTCCAACATGGCATTATAATGCGGTTCAGTTGCCTGCTGAATCCAACATTTTGCATCAGGAATGTACACAAGGGATTAACTGCTCAATCCAACAGGCTCCATCGGGTATGTGACATAGTTGGATCCTGTTGGATTCAGCAGGGTTATTAAGGCAGTTCTTACAATACCCATTTCTTTCATTGCATAGGAACTTTCATTTCTAGAAGCAAAAACACTTTCACGGAAAAACCTCAGGGATTCCATATTTTCATCAGGCAAAATCCTCTCACCCATGTCATACGGATGAGGATTATGCTCTCATGCATAATATATACACATTTTAATCATGTACCACTATACATGTATGTACATATGACATTGCTTAATTTATCAGTATGTTTAAGTACATTGTAGCAAGTACACTGTATGCAATGATGTTCTGTAATAAATTTCATTGAGATACGGTATTCAACTTTAGAAAACAAACAAAATCAAGAGAGGACAAATTTGAACCAAAACATTTCAAGCACTATACATGTACGTGGGAACACTCTCTTGCGCTATACATACATGTAACAAGCACGGCAATCATGTGCTTAAGCACATAATGGCGTATAGCACGGTACTTAATATCATCTTTTCAGAATCACACATACTCACAAAAGAGATTTATTCACATGGTGCTACCGCAAACTTATCTTGTCTTAATATCATGTTGAAATGATGTAACATGAGAAACGACGCGGTGGAAATTTGCACAGAAAAAAATAATAATAATGATAAAAATGTCAGATACAAAACAAACAACAGAAAGCCATCTGGAGCATTCTCAATCGATGATTGAATCATTTTTATGAATTGTTGAAACATCTGACGCCATCGATACAGGAATGCTAACCTAATGGTCAAAGTGCCCGCATGTATCCATATACCCAGCACGAAATGTGACGGAGGGGTATCCCCTCCCCCCACCCATCATACTATACCCTATACACACCCTACACTCTTGTTACCTAACACACAGTGGCGTAGGGGGGGGGGGACAGCCCCCCCATGAAACCTTGTCGTCCCCCCAGTCGCCCCCCCCCTCCCCCCCCCCCCACTGAGATTTTGAGTTTCAAAAAAAATTATCATTGATCTACATGACGCCCCCCCCCCATGAAATGTTCCAGCCCCCCAGCCCCCCCCCCCCCCCCCCCCCACTGAAAAATTCTTGGCTACGCCACTGCTAACACATCCCCCTAGATATCTCAAAAGAATTCCTGAGATTCTGGTAACACAATGACCAACACAAAAGAGTGGCGGGGGGGGGGGTGTCACACATCGTGCTACACATGCGTATCCATCCAGTTCTTATCAGAATTTTCACTCAAAACCTACTGGCAAAAAAAACAACCACAGCCGACACGCACAAATGCTTGCCGCATATCTCATGGTCTGTCCATGTAGATGTACATACCGGGGAGGCCCACGGACTCTTTTCTGTTGGGTGATTTTCTATTCAACAATGACAAGCTGGGGAAAAATTGGTGTTCTGTTGTTGGAAAATTAAAAATAGGGGAGACAATTCTTCCTTTCTTTTTAATCAACGGGTTGGGTGAACACCTTTGAAATACGACACGGTGCGTAATAGCGCGAAACACAAAGCAGTGTGTGCACACAAGGCCCGATGCATGTATGCTTTAGGTATGGCAATGTTTGCTATTTGCGTTTACATACATACATGTACAAAAACCTTTTTAAGGTAACCAATGACAAAATCAAACTCAAAATCACTACTTACCGTTTAGTAAAAACCACTGAGCAATACATGTACAATGTAACTAGATGCTTTCATTTTTATCCTTTTACTTTACTATCTTTTTTTCTCTTTTTCTATGAATTCGCGGTCTTAAGTAAACAATTTTTTTCGGATACCAAACACATCTCAAACATTTGCTAGTTGATTTTTTTGTTTTTGTTTTACAGGTATAGCCATTTAAAATTAATTCGGGAATTAACTTACATATAATTATATTTACATGATTTACTCTTTTTAAAACTATTGTTTACCAAAATCCAATATTTTGTCTTGGAGAGAAAATCAATATAAATCCAATTTTTGAAGCAGTCAAGACAATTTTTTTTTTTAATAGACAAAAGCAAAGTGCCAGTCGAATGGAACTTCTACCCTTCTTAAAAAAATAAATATAATAATGAAAAAAGGAACCACGTACACTCAATCGTCCTTCAGGAAAAGATAACAATGTAATTCGCAAAACTCAATTCATCTTTTATACTTCGGGACAAGACAATGACGACACCAAAATTTAGCGTCGGCGATATTTCTCCCTAAAACATGCATATCAAATTACGGGCCCCGACCCTACCATTAAGACCCCAACACTACATCGACTATTGTCGGTTACCATCAACTCTTTTCTAATGATCGGACACTGTACAGCTGGGGCCGGAACCCAAAGACAAGGACAACTATTGTCAACATCTTTAGCTCCTGGACAAAAAAATCCAGAGAGAAAAAAAAAGAAAAGAAAGCGACGTAAATGTAATTTCTCATTTAGAGTTCCCTTGGAAAGCAGCTATGTCAACCGAACGCCGACGAAGCTCTGCAATAAATCTATACGAGGATTTGTCTATATACTTGTCGGTAAGCGGTGGTGTTCTTTAACTTAATGGCACGATGTATACGTGACAGGGGCTAGCCCGTGATACACAGATGGTGAACTGAAGGGGGGGGGGGGTTAGGGGGAGACCATACACCACAAAGCTATATTGTATGTCCCTGTCCGTTGCCCTTCATACTTCCCAGTGTCTGACGCCGTGTGTTTATGCATGCGGCCTGCGACATTGAGATGGGATTTCTTTTCTGCCGGTTGCACGCACACACACACGCACACCCACACCGTACGGCAGCGCGCCGCTGTTGTCTTTCCGACCACAGTGTCAACATTACAGGGTTGTGGAACGAGCACACAATCCTACGCTGGACCTCTAGCTGGTGTGTACAATGCTTTAGATATGTACATGTATATATGCGACCACAATGTACAAGCATTCCATTGTGAAGCTGTTGTTGCCAGTACTATAATAATAATGAGGATATAATAACATATCCTCATTATTTTCATTTTTCTTTCCCTAAAGCTGTCTGGTGCTTTCAGCCTTCATGTACCGGTACATGTACATTGAAGCCTATTTCTCACTTGTGTACATTTCGGTGCGAGTGAAAAAAAAACCAACCCAGAATGCTCATCACAAAGCATGTTTTCAAATTGGAAAAAAATTTCCTTGTAAAAAAAAAGAAGAAAAAGATTTTTTCAATTTTGGATTATTTGAGCAGTAAAAAATATTGCGTGAAAAATGACAAGTGAAAAATGAATATGCTTATATCACAAAAGAATGTTTTTAAATTTGTAATTTCTTTTCTCAAAAAGATGGAAAATTTTCTATTATTTCATTATTCAAGCAATTACAAAATGTCTCTGGGAAACAAAATTTCACACTGTAAAATGACCAAAAGATGCAATTTTTGACCAATTTCAAATTTATGAGAGTCAGTTCCGTTTTCATACCAACAGGAATAGGGTTGTAGCAAAACTATGTATTTTAATCTTGTCACTCCTCAATTTTTTTATTATGCAACTAGCAAATTGTACTGCCAATAAAATTCACAATCAATGCTCAACAAAATAATTACGAATGGAAAATAATTTCCTTGAAAGTGTGGGCTTACGTTTCAGCAGACCCTATCGTATGATAGATCCATGAATTCCAAATTTTTTGTTCTCTCTCTGCTTTTCAATAAAGAAATCCCCGAAAAAAATCAGCATAATTGCCTTGAGAGGCTTGGGTGGGTATTTAATTCCCGCATACGGCCCGGTGAACAGTAGGAAACTTGATTAAGGGGGGGGGGGTGGGTTGAATTCAAGATCATCCATATGCATGGGCTCATCGGTAGTAGCTCCGGGTCTGATCGGATCACAGCAAATACAATTATTTGGGCATGAATAGAACACTTAGGTATAATGAAACCCTTTGTCCTCCTTGATAAGGATGTTGGTTTGGAACCGAACGCTTCTGGCTGCGATGGCGTTAAGGCTTTATGACTATGAGCTACCCCGGTAGGCCGTATAATTTAAACATGGACCTCAAGGACGAAAATAAGACCATTGTCTCTCACTCTCTTCTAATGAACACCCAAATGGATTTTTTTTTTTGGTGTGGAATATTCAACCGTCCCTCGCAGCTTGCAATAACGCACAGCACATAAATTTGAATTTCGCTGGATATGAGTTCTGATTGCTTGCACAGCTTGCGAGCATACATCCGGAGGCAACCTTCGCGGAATGTTTTGGCCAAACATCGCTTGTAGCGTACAACACCTCGAAATGAATAACATGCATACATGTGAATTTGAATCTCAACGCATCATGAAACGAACTAAACGG